ATATATATATATATATATATATCCTTTTTCTTCCACTCCCAATCACTGCTCAGCATTACACAACTGACATCAGGGGGGAGTTGTTGTTGACGGCGACTAATAATTTAGTCACGTCTCGCTGTATTTATTTTCTCTTCGCCAATGTGTCGAGCGCCAACACCGTGAGTGCCGTAGCCCTCCGGTCGGTGAAAACCATCATTAAAGGGATCCACAAGTCCACCAAACAATGCAATAGGAACTACTATAATAAAGGCCAGAAGAAAACAACGTTGTAACTTCTCTGCAGCCCCAACCGCATCGGCATTTGTTTTGTGAAATTCCTCCGGCACACGATTAGAGGATGGATTTTTGGGAAACTCATAAAACATATCTCCAGGGCCATCATCACTTTGTTCACGTTTTTCACGAATCTTATCGTAGAAAAACCGCTGTGAAGTGTGAAGAGAAACTGAAGCTGTCAAGAAAGGACAGCAAAACGATAATCGACGCTGCATCGTCTATTTTTTTTTTTTCTTCTTCTTCTCTTTATCTACTAGTATTCCAGTTATTGTTTTTGTTTTTTTTTTCGCCGTGCCCCTCCTCTTTCTCTTTTGAGTGACACACACAGACACAGACACACCTCTACTTACCGAAACAATTATATATATATATATATATATATATATAATGTTCACTAAGGAGATGAACTCTATCTAGTGAAATGAAGAAGTTTAACAATAAACCTTTTCACACAACTCGGAATTTTCTGCGGGTGTAAACCCCTCTTTTAACACAAAAACAACACTTCACTCATCACATTTATTCAACTTGGAAAGTAAAAATAAAACTCAAATTTAAATAAAAAAAACTCTACAGGCTATTGAATGATACACCACCTTTACACAGATTCTTTCTTGCCGCACACCAATAAGCACAGAATCTCCCTGCTTTGAGACTTTTTAGTCATCATTAAACCTCCATGCAACGATAATAATAATAATAATAATAATAATAATAATAATAATAATAATCCTGTCAAGAAAAACAGACATACTTTTTTCTTTGTACTTGTGTCTTCTCTCGTATTTTTTTTCTTCTTTTTTCTTCTTTAGGAAGCGACGAAGTAAATACCTCCCATAATTCCCAAAAGAAGAAGACAGCAAAAGATATAAATAGCAACCTTATCTTTATCCATTTCCTTTAGTGTTTTTCGTAGACGGGCATTCATAGATACCAATTTACCATGCACATTATCTACTTTTGTCTCTGTATCATCCAGAAGTCTCTGTTGTGTTGAAAGTTCAGAGTTTAGTAACAAGGCATTCTCGTTTAATCGTTCTAAACCTGCCCCAATACGATCCAGTGATTCATCAATATCTTTATCCCGCATTTTAGTTTGCTCAAAGAAAAGTGCAAACTCATCATCTTCACGAGCTGATAAAAGAGGTACACTAGATTCATGAGATGTGTGGTTATTATAGGTAAATGCAGTGGCACCTGAAACAGTAAATCCACCACCACTACTACTACTCCCTATACCAATCGCATCATCTACTAATGGAGCCCCAAAACGTGCACGTTGAAGTTGTTCTGTTTTATTCACATGAATCATTAATTGATTATAATCTTCACGTCGTCCTTCCTTTACTGCAATACGATTTAATATTACAGCTTCCTTCTTCATGTTACTAATATCCCGTCGAATAGAATTTGAAATCTCTGTTCGTTGTGTTATATTCATGGAATCTCCTGTTGTTTCTATATGAGAGACATTTTCCCTCACCCGTTTCATAAAGCAGGCAATACGATATTGTCCCTTCTCATAAGCTGTCATTTGACTCGTGTCTACTTCTTCTTCTTTATTATTATCATTATCATTATTCTTCATAGATGTTGTTAAATGCGATCCGGCACTCTTGGTGCCTCCACAAGCGACATGCAACCGCTCCAGGCGGCGCATGGTTCCCTGCAGACTTGACATGAGACTGCAGTTACTACACTCTTATTGCCCTTCCTTCATTTTATTTCAGAAATCAGAAAAGCAAAGTAACACCGGGGTGAGTGGATGAGACATTTAAGAAGAAGAAGGGGGGAAGTAAAAAAAAATTATCTCAAAGCACTCTGTAAACACTAATCATCGTCCAAGAGATTAGGTTTATAAATTATCGTATGTTTGTATTTTCTTTTTTTTTTTCTCCTGCAATATATATAAATATATGATCTATTTCGGCCGCATGTACACGGTCAGCATTTCTATAGTGTTTCACTCCTCTTTTGTTTTTTTTTTGTTTTTTTTTTTTTACTTCTCACTCTGTTCACTTTTCTTTATTCTAATAAATAATGTTTTTTTTTTTTTTTTTCTTTCTGTCTTCTTCTTCTTTGAGCTTCTACACAAGGCCACTCTCAAGTTTTCGTGAGAAGTACGTTGTCAAGAAGGTAACTGGATTTGTAGACGCAATCAACTGTAGTAAGGTTCCCTCCATAGATTTCATCTCACTATCCACTACTGTCTTGAGTCGAACAAGTGATTCCTCCTCTGCAGATTCAGAGCGTTTTAACACATTCGCAAGATTATTTCTAACTTTATCTATTTCACTCTTTAGAAGTTCCCCTAATGCCTGAACTTCCGTTAATTCCTGGTTTAGAGACTGTACACATTCCGCAGCACGTTCCTTTACTTGGGCTTCGGAGCGTCTTATAGATGTTAAATCTTCACGAACAGAAGCTTCAAAGTCATCACGTTCTCGTGCATTAATACGACGCATCTTTTCTAATTCTTCTTGCATAAAATCAACAGCGGATTGAAGTTCTCCTTGATATTCCTGTCGCATTCGTGCAACTTTCTGTGAAACGGCCTCATGTAGTTGACGAAGTGTATCTCCCTCCACAGTAGAAGGTGGTGCATTCTCTGATTTCTCTGTTGAAGTACCTCTAGAGTGGATTTCTTGTACTTTCTGATGTTCCTCTTGTTTGGATTTATTATTATTATTATTATTATTATTATTATTATTATTATTATTATTATTATTATTATTATTATTATTATTATTCACACCTCGAACAGGAGAAAGAGGCGCCGAAGCCGTATCTGTAACTGGAAGTGAAACAATATGACTTCCTTCTCTGCTAGAAACATTAGCACCATTGACGTGATTCTTTTGTAAATGAGATGTCATCATCTCTCCTGATGACGTAGTGGTTGTTGCTGTTGCTGCCGTTGTTGTTCCTACTGTCGTTAACGTTGCCTCATCTCTTTGACGAATACGGTGAATAGGTACACGACGTTTTCTTTCAGCAATCCACTCATGAATTCCAGAAGATCGAATAGTACTGAAGGTAGATTGCGTTAATGAAATCATTAATGTATCTTTACCAACATCAAGACTTAAAACATCAGAAAGTCTTTCTGGGATTATGTGTAGACGAAGGCCGAGTTTTCGGTCTTTTGATAATCGTACGGAACGAATATGTTCATAGGGAATAGTAATGTTGTCACCAGAATTACCAGGAATCATTATAACAAGAATAAGTGGAGAAAAATACATATTTGTATGACCACAAACCTCCTTTTTTCCAGCTTCAATAAGAAGTGCTGTAAACTGAAGTACACCTGAAGTATTATATTCCATATTATAAATATCAAGGAGAGTTTGAATTCTTGCTAAGAGATTAGAATCATTAGGAAGCTCTGCTACACCTTTTTTAAAGAATTCTGGTAATGATGATGTCGCTAATACGGTACGATTATGTGTATAAAGACGAAATATAATTTCAACACACTGCATTTGAAAAAATATATCGTTAGACTTTGTTAATGTCTCTCCAATACGACCACATTCAACACTCATTCGATTTTTATTCGCTTTTGAACCTCGAATAAGTGTAATGAGAACACTTGCAATAGCACGAGGTTGACGGTAGTCATCTTCACTTTCTGAAGCATTGCAGAAAAAATTCAGTAGACATGGCATCAATACCGCCCCTAGTGTATCCTTCAAGGTTGAAGAAGCACATAATAGTTGTATAAATTCAAAGAAAATTTCCATATTAATTTCACAACGAAAGGAATGATTTTCTGATTTAAAAAGTGTAGCACATATCTTTACTAATAAGTCTACACAATGTCCTTCTTCCGCAGGTGTTAACAATGACTGTGCTACCCGCTCGCCATCAGAAACAGTTGGTTGCAGCAGAAGTTTGAGGAAAATAGAAAAAGGGGTTACTAACTTATATCGAATGGCGTAAAGACACTTCCGCAGAATTGTCTCCATCTCACGAAGAAGCAGCGAGACTTCCTCAGTCGTGACAACAGCAGGATAGGATTGAACCTCATCCGTGGGCATATGCAGAAGCGTCTCTACAGTAGCCATTTATGAAAATGGTCCACCAACGTGTTCCTAATCGCCCCTCTAACTCTTTACTTTTTTTTTCCCTTCTTGTTAAGTTTTCTTTGCTCTTTGTCCTTTTCTACTCTGTAAAGGAACGGGAAAAACAAAAGGAAGGGGGGAAAAAAAACTATCAGAGAGTTACTCCTTGGGCATTAAAAAAAAAAAAAACAATATGTATATATATGGAGTCTACGAGAAAAATATTCACAATTCAGACACACACGCATAGACGAAGGCCCTCTTTCTTTCTTTCTTTCTTTCTTTCTCTATTTCTTTCAAACACACACACAAACAAACGGAGAGACATAATGGAAATCATACCAATTTTATATATATATATATATATATATATATATATACATATATGTATATGAGTATATATAAATACATACATGTATAGTATAATTAAGGTAATAGTTGTACTCCTATACAGGAATAAAAACAAATAAACACTTGTACGTTACGAGCCATAAAAACGTTTTTCTTTATTCTATCATCTAAAATGCAATAAACCCTGTGAATTTTCCTTTCAGTTTAAGAGGGGATACTCCATATACCTTATACCAATACCTGCCAACACGTACACAACAAATATAAACACTAGAGATGGTAAATAGTCAAAAACGAAGTAAATAAGAAGCATTGCTTTTGATATTCTACCTGGACTCTTCAAATGAATAGAAAAAAGAGTCCCAATATGCACCAGGGAAGCAAACAAAACAGGAGAGAAGAACCTTCCATATGGTGTATTCGGATCAATTCCATGCATATGAAGAAAAGCAATCCCAATCGTTATAGCTAAAATAATTAAATATGAAGAAATACTTAATGAAGAAGGTAAATGTGCCTCATTCCAGAGGCTTAGGGCAGAGAAAACAAAGTTGACACCCCGTCCTAATGATGGAACAATTTCCGGTCTATCCTGTTTTGGAATATCATTACTTCTTTGATTAGACTCATCACGCGAGAGAGATTCTGTAACCATGGATGACCCAACAGAAGCATTTCTTACAGGACCTGGTGAATTACCTGTTGTCAAAATTGGATGAGAGACATCTTCACAAGATTGTTTCTCTTTAGTTTCAGTCTTTGTATTATTGGAACCCATAGAAGATATTTCTTTCACCGGTCCCCGAATCTCTTTCAGGACTGGATATTCGCACTCTAGCTTCTCAAGTTCTAGATCAACTGTTTCATCCTTCTGTCCACGTTCTTCCAACTCATTTGCTTCTCGCAATAACGCCCGGTAACGCCTTCGGGCTCTTAGTAGTTGCACGTCACTCATAAAACTTACTTCTGGTAAAAAAAAATAAAAATAAAGAATAGCAATCAGCAAAAAAAAAACAAGAAAAAGAGAGCCACACCTTGTGTAAAGATTATTAGGCAAAAGGGGTTTTTTGTTGCTGTCTTTTCTTTCGCTTCAAGGAAAAGACAAATTTAAGCACAAAAACAAAAAAACACACTTACTGGACGTAAGATTCATACTTCTTATTTTCTTTTCTCTTTTGCTGCACACTATGCATACACCCTCCCACCTTTTTTTTTTTTGCCTCTTTTGTTATTTCTTTTTTTTTATCCTTCTTTGTTTTTCTTTTTTCTTTTTATCTTGGAGATGGAAGGTATCTGAAAAAAAAAAAAAACCGTCCATACACGAGTTATATCTATCAGATGTCAAACAATTAGTAACCACATAGAGAGATATATTCCCATATCCCAAAGAACTAATAAAAAAAAAAAAGCCAAATATTAATTTTCAATTGCCTTGGCATTCATTCTGCCGTAGGTGTAACGAAGAAGCGTCGCAACCTGCACCGTAGTGTTTGTCAGATGGCAGAGACACAACGGATAATTAGCTGGCGAAATGGCAATCGACCATCGCACAAATATAGCGCTATAAGAAGCAAGAACGGATGTCATCACTGGATCAATTTCGCTTGGTTTGCGAGTAGGGAAGTTCATAATACCAGCAATGGGGATGAGCCAATTTGCAGCCGCTCCAACGTACCCAACATAGCGGACAACATTCACCGATACCATAGTTACCTGGGTTCTTAAAACCTTTTTAACTTAACAATTCCAAAAAATAAAAAAGGAATCAATTTTTTTTTTTTTGTTGTTGTTGTTGTTGTTGTTCTCATTTTTCTTAAATATTTCCACAACATTTATAGTTTAGAACAATATCAGATAAGAAAACAATATTCTCAATATGAAGAAAAAATTCAAATGATGATCATTATCATCACAAGAAACAAAAAAAAAAAAATTCATACATAATATCATTGTCTCTTCCTTACAATTGCTGTCTTTAACGCCCCAAGAAGCATATCCACATCCTCTACGAGCGAGGGAGGGTAAAAGAATCCATCCTTGCCAAAATATCTCCCATACGGCACTTCTTTGGAGAATGAAAAATAAACTTCCGATCTGGTAAAGAAACGGGGGGGACCAACAAGTTGGACCTCTATATTTAGTTTGGATGACTTAGGTACCTCGTCAACACGAACACAAACTCTCCTTCCTTTTAGTATACGAAAACACTCCTTCTTATGTCCCTCACCAGTAGGCAAAGGGAAAATAATACCTGCAAATGCAACATTTTCTGCGTTTTGCGCATAATCGCAAAGGGAAGCAATCCCAGAAAAAGCAACGCAAATACCAATAAGTAAAAAAGTAGCCCAATTATGTGGTTTAAGAACATCTTTTCCAGTATATAAACCTAACGCAATAATAAGAGAACATAATACCGAAGTATAGCTTAAAACTTTTCTTCTGTCCCATTTGGAATCTGTTTCAAAAACCTCTAAATACTCAAAATAATCATGTATGTTATTCATCACTGCAGTTTTTACAGTCTTTATATCGTTTACTGAAGCATACTTCTGAACAGAATTACTATACAAATCATATCCATAAACATAATTTTTACCAGTCTTTTTCGTAATTTGATCCATGGTTACTTTATTCCCTTGATGGAAAAGAAAAAAAAAATAAGGAAGGCAAGTAAAAAAAAAAAATAATAATAATTAAAACATGTAATCCATCCAGCAGAAATTTGAAAATAAATAAATAAAAACATATATATATATATATATATATATATTTACAGATGTAGGGAAAATACCATTTTTATTATTTTAATAAGAAAAAGAAAGAAAAAATGCACACAAACACAAGAATCTATCTTATCTCACCCCAGTAGGTTTATAATAAGCTGAACGAATATGAACTGTGTGAGACTCACCAGGAATACAACCACCTTTACCCATTGCCCAATCGTAACTACGAGCAAATGCAACAAGTGAACCATCTGCACTAATATCTCCTGCCGAAACTGATTTATTTCGATTCTCTAATTTTGGATCACAATCAATATGCCCTATACTAGAACGTTTTTTATAGTCCCAAAAGGCAAGACGTCCATCACCACCTCCAGTAAGAATATGAGGTGCTCGAGGATTTATAACACAAAAATTTGTTTGATGCATAAATTGAACATTATCTTCTATAGTGATATGAGCCTTAAAAGTGCAACCTGGTTCTTGTTGAAAAGGGATAAAAGAAACTCTTCCTTCTGAACTTCCAACTGCAACTCCATCATGCTGAGGTGAACAGGCCACACATCTTAAATTAAACTTTACCAAAGTAGGTGGTTTAACTTCAGAAGTCTTCATTAAATTTTGAAGATCAAAAATATGAACCTTTCGCCCAGTTACACAAGCGGCCATAGGAAAAGTTTTCTGTGCATCCAAAGCAAATATAGGTTCAACCAAGTTTTCCTCTTTAGCCGGTCGTTGTTGCCGTAAATCCCAAAATCTTAACTTTCCATCCCAACTCCCAGTAATTAACATTTCTAATCCAGCACCAGAGTTGACATGAGCTATACAACTTATAGGAAGATCATGAGATGCAACGACCACTTTTTGATTTGTCACCAAATTCCACATAGTTGCCGTTTTACTACATCCACCCCAAAAAACTCTTCCATCATTTGAAAAAGAAAAATCTAAAATTGGTGCATCACTTTCTGCAAGACTCATTGGTTGTGTGCGAACGTTCGCCCCATCTGCATCATGAGTTACCTGCCATATACGGCAACTTTTATCCCATGATGTTACTCCAAGAAGCACGTACGGACATCCAGTAGGTGAAAAACGAACAGAACTCACACAATCATTTGGAGTTCCTGTCAAATCATGAGTATTACTAGTAGTAGATTGATAAGAATTAAACGTATTCATACTATTATCTTGTCGTGCGTTTTTTTTTTTTTTTTTTTTCTTTCTTTTGCTTGGGGAAAGAAAAATAATAAAAAATGAAAAAAAAAAAACACAAAATCTTTCACATCAAAAATAAAAGAAAGAAACCAGAAAAAATACAACATATTCCAACAATACAACCTGGAAAAGTTGTACTAACTCAATGAGAGGTTTATTATTATTATTATTATTATTATTATTATTATTTTTTTTTTTTTTTTCGGTTACTTCGCTGCTATAGGAACAAAAAAAAAGAAACAAAAAAGACAAATAAAAAAAAAGAAAATAAAGAGTACAAAAAAAAAAAAAGAACAAGATACAAAATGAATACAAACACTCAAAAAATTACGAGTACATTCCATACAATCCTCTATGAAGAAAGCACAAAGAAATCATCTGTCGGGCACCCATTTTGGGTCCAAAGAGCTCTTTCTTCATTTAGTGACAAGGCATCACATTCATGACCCCAAATACTATCATTCCAATTTTCTGACAAAACGCGCTGTAAGAAGTTTGATACAAGAACTCTAGCAGCATCAAGATCTGCTGGAACCTCAGGATTACAGTTCGCTAGCTCCAAGGGTGGCCTATCTGGGAGTACAAACGTTCCAAGTGCAAACATTTTCTTCAAGACACAAGAAGGGTGATCATGACCTGTAGCAGCAAAGCAATCAAGAACAAAAGAATCATCTCCTCGGAGAAGAGAGTTCCAGCAGTTGTTGAGATACCGGGCGAGAAGTGCAACAAGCTGATCTTTGTATAACTCTGGATCCGTATTGCCCATACGATGAACAGCCATTATAGTACCACAACACGCCTGAGTCAAAAAGTCAATAACAGTAGTCTTGGAATTAGTCATTTTAAAAGAAATTCTATCTTTACTGAGAAAAAAAAGGGGAAAAAACAGAATTCAAAAAAAAAGGGAACCGATGCATTTTTTCAAAAAAAAAAAATTATACAAATATATACATAAACCGTCTAAAAGTCACGTGAAAACGCATACTTAAGTGCAAGAAAATTTTTTTTTAAAAGAAAACATAAAACACGAAGAAACGGATAATAATTATCCTTCTTTTTTCTTTTTTCACCACTGTATAATTTATCTTAAGCAAGAATAACGTCATATTACTTTTCAAAAACTTTAGAAAGAACAACAAAAAAAAAATAGGAGTGATTTAACCGCAAATCAACATCGGCTTCTTTTTATTCAACCAACAGAGAACTTTAAAATCGGTTACACCAACTTAGCCTCGCGCAATTAGGAGGCACCAAATCAAAAGTTCAATATGGTACCAGTAGAACAAAAGCATTTTTGCAGCGTTATGCAAACTGAATGAAACTTGATTTTTCCTCTCCCAAGAAATAATAATAATAATAATAATAATAATAATAATAATAATAATAATAAGGATATTTCTCAACCACTGCTCAAAACACCGGCCTCATCTCGATCAAATAAAAAAAAGTATCGCTTTTTTTTCACAACTGAGGAAGATGCCTCTGCCTCCTAACAGTTTCAAAACATCAATTTCCCCGCCAAACGTTGAAACGCAAGAAAAAAAAAAAACCTCGTGTTGGCGACAAAAAAAAAAAATTTCTTATGTAAAAAAAAAAAAAAACACAAAGAACAAATCTAACACACCAAATTGATTACCACACCCTTTCACCCCAAAAAGTTTAATTCCCAAGGTTCAACAGGGCAATAAAAAAAAAAAGATATTTCACAACGAGAACACACTTAAGAGAAACATTGCCGAATCCTTTTATGACTACAGCAAGCAAAAGGGAAAAAAATAAGAATCTTGCGACCCCAGAAAAAAATATATATACGGAAGAATAAAAACACAAAAAAGGGATGGCAACCACCACAGGGGGAAACAAAAAAAAAAAAAAAAAAAAAACTTCGTTCCTTCAGCGGACCACGAGCGGAACAGCCCACCACAACCGGAACGAAAACAAACAAACCTGAGGGAAGAGAGGGGCAGCACCACGAGGGAGACCCGCGGCCACGAAACAAGAACCCCACACTGCAGAAAGAAAAAGGGCGGCCTCCCCTTTTTTTTCTTTTCGGGGGAGGGACGCCCCGGCCGCCATAGCCGCCGACAGGCGCGGGGCCGCGCCCCTTTCTCTTTCTTTTTTGTTTTTTTCCTTTCCGGGGCCCCGCGTGGTTGGCGGGTTCGTCGTTCCCGTCGTCTTTCTCGCGTCGGGCTGTTGCTCGGGCCCGGTGCGGGGCCGGACGGTTCTCCGAAAGTGGGGTTTGGGGTTCGAAATTGGGGGGGAGGAGGGGTCTCATCCCTCAAACCCATCCCCCCCTCCCCCCTCCCTTCTTTTTCTCTGGTTCCATTTGGTTGCTTTTTTTTTTTTTCCTTATTCCACTGGTTGTGTTTTTTCCCTTTAGGAAGAGAGCACAAAAAAAAAAAAAAAAGAATGGCCATGGTAATAAATGATTTTTTGAGGCGTTGTTTTCAATTCTGCGCCACCCAAAAATCGATCACCATCGTTTTGGGAAACGAAGGGGGTGACATGGATAGTATTGTTGGCTCTATCTATCTGGCTTTTTTTCTGGAGAAACGTGATCTTTTGGGAGGAAAGTATTACATACCTCTATTGAATTTTGAAAAAGAAGATCTTCCTTTACGTAATGATGTTGTAAAACTATTTTCAAAATATGGTGTGGAAACAAATCTTCTTCTTTCAAGCAGAGGGAACTCAAATATGGAAGATTATGTAGATCTTAAAAAAATGATGCCTGATGTGGTTTTATATGATCATAACAAGCTTATTGCTGCTCAAACTTTTTTATCTGAAAAAGTTATTGGTATTGTGGATCACCATTTTGATGAGCAGTTGTACATAGAACAAACCAAGAGACTTCGGTTGTTAGAAACAACAGGATCTGCATGTACTCTTGTTGCCGAGTTATTCCGAGATGCAGGATTAAAGGTGCCTTGTGCCGAACTACTTCTTGCACCCATTATCCTGGACACTGTGAACTTTAATCCTTCTCAAAAAAAAGTGACCGAAAGAGATATACAAGTAACTCAATGGCTTGTGGGACAACTTCCTGAAAAAATTGATTTGGAAGAAATGTTTGTTGATTTATCAAAATGGAAAAAAGACATAATGGGTCTGAGTTTTGCTCAACATCTTCGTCGAGATTATAAACATTTTGAGTTTCCTTTTCATGGAGGAGGCGCAAAATGTTTACAAATTGGAATTAGCAGTATTTCATGTCGTTTAGATGAAATGGTTGCTTCCCGTTCTATGACTGAACTTGCTTCAGGTTGTTTGGAGTTTGTAAATTCAAGGCATTTGGATGCTCTTATTCTAGCCCTCGCTGGTGAAAGAGGAAGTGGAAATTATTGTCGTCAATTGGCATTTATTGCCAAAGGTGATGTTCTTGATGTTTTAGAGTCATACGCAAAGAGTTCACCTGACATGATCTGTTTCACTCCTCTAAGTACGGTTCAAGATGGTGAATGGAGCATGATTTCTTATGAATTGAGTGACCCTTCAGTTTCACGTAAGAAGCTCGCCCCTTCTCTGGCTAAGTACATCGCTGCTTGGCCAAAACTATAAGAACTTTCTTTTTGCTTCTTTCTGAGGAAATGGAAGACGATATTAAAATGGATAGAGTGAGTGGGGATAAAATAATAAAAAAAAAAAGATACTCTGGTGTAATTTCCATGCATCTACACTGGGTATTCTGTTCACAAGATTCTGCTATGGTTATCTCAACTTCTTTTCCTCTCATGTTTTCTTTTTATCTTCGTTTTTTTTTTTTTTTTCTATGAAGGGCTTATGTACCATGAGTACACTTCTTTCGCCAGAGAGTATGGAGCTTTCTGTTATCGATCCAATATGGTGTAGTAACCATATTGAGTTTAAAATATGCATATGGAATAGTCTCGCACGAGAAGTGCCGTTAAGTAGTACATATCGTAGGTTTAGTGAAATTTATCCTGTGTTTAAAAGATTAGTTGAACTTCAACCTAGTCCTCCGTTACCTCCTCTTCCAGAGAAAAAGTTTTTTGGTAGTACTGATCCAATATTTGTAGAGAAACGAAGAAGGGAAATTGAAACCTTTTTACGGGCGGTCTGTAGAAATAGGTTTTTGGTACATGATGTAGCGTTTCTCTCATTAATAGGCTTTTCTGACGCCAAGGCAGCATTGGCACTAGAGGCTGAGAAGAAAATTGGAATTTTTAAAAGCAGTAAAGAAGGTTTGTTATCATATATACCGTTTGATATGCCTCCTTTAAATGTAGAAGAACTGTTGCTCGTAACTCGTCAGGTTCTGCGATCAACTAATTATTCATCAGTGGGTGTTTTGCCTCCGTTATCATTCCGCCCACCACGTCGAGTTCATGCCATTATAAGAGATAATTCTGAGGAATACATTTTAAGTATAATTCAATCTCATCCAACGCGAGGTATAAATCTTACTAATAACAAGAAAGCTGAACGATTTTGTAGTTTGGTATCACGTCCTATTTTGCCTTGCGTGTTTTCACCAGTTGATGTTTTCACAGACGGAATTCGAGCCTATATTGTTCGTAAGATCATTAAAAAAGGTTCTCTGCGTGATTGTCTTTATAAAGCTACTTGGAGTACTACATCTGAGCAAAAATTTACGGGAAGTGGTAAACCTTTCCGTTCTCATTATATATCAGTTGTTGTAAGGGAAGCATTGATAATGTTAAAATCATTTCATTCTTTTAATATTACATGTACAAATTTGAACTTAGGCAAATGTTATGATGTTAATGGGAAAATAATGTTTGCAGGTATTGAAGACATATTATTAGGTATTACATGTTTTCCGGTCGTCTTACCAGGTACTGAATATACACATATGGATATATTACTTGTGGGTTTACTAGCTCTGGAAATGGCTATGGGAATTCCAATTTCAGAAGAGGGAGAAATGGACTTTGTCTCTGCTTTTAAGGATCCTACAGAAACTGTTGAAGTTGATATTAAGTCAAGAACTAAATTTGTAACACAATTGTTAGAAGATATGCCATCCTTTATTCCTAAAGAGGTAGTTTCTTTCCTAAAGACAGTTTTTGACCCCACACATACTGTTGAGGTTGATGAGTTACTCCAGCATCCCTTTATTGTGAATAAGAAGCATAAAGTATATCGTGAAGAAGATAAGGAAGGCAAGGTTAAGTGTCAACCGGTAGAACTAAGAGAAAAGGAGTCTCAACTATTTCGTGATGTTGCCAATAACTGGATAAAGGTTGTTAAAGCTGCAAGTGTTCGTATGATGTATGAACAGGAAAGTCGTTTTTTTCTTAAAGAAATAAAGCATCGAAAAGGAGACTCTAGAGGATTTCTAGTACAGGATAATTCCTCAAATACTTGTAGCCCACAAAAGGACCTCTTGTCCAGGGATACATTAGCACAGAATATCATGACAGTCCAAAATGTGGAAACAAGACTGACTGAATTAGAGTGTAGAACCGATTCTTTGACTACCACAGACTCAGTGATGCCACCACGACCCCCGCAACCCCCACCGAAAGGCTTACCTCCTCCTCCTCCTCCTCCTCCTCCAAAAAGATTACCACCACCACCACCACCACCACCACCAGCAAAGTGTCCAATATCGTCTTAATAAAACCTCAGCTGCCTTTCATCCCCAAAGTGTTTTGTAAACTGGTTGACACATGGTAAGAAAGAAATATATTTTTTATTTTTCTTTTTTACTTCCTCTTTGAAAAGGAATGAGACTAAAGAAAATGAGTTGTTCTCTTTCTCGCTCAATTTCACTCTCGCTCTCTTTCTTCTTCTCTTTTTTTTCATATTCTAGGTCATTTCTATTTTGTTCTGAACAATTGGTAGTATTTCTGGGCAATTTAAAAACGGATTCTGACAATGACGCGTGGCAATCAGCGAGACCTTGCCCGGGAAAAGAATCTGAAGAAAAACAAGGAAAAGGAAAAGGGTCAGCGTGAAGATGGATTGACCTTTGCGCAACGGAAGGAACTGGATGCAGAACGAATGCGCAAAAAACAAGCAGAAGCACAAATGAAAAAAAGTTCTGGTGAGTAAGCTGAAAAGGCATGCTTTTTTTATGCGAGCGAACTGGTGGTGTGGGGGAAGAACAATATCAAGACAGAAAAAAAAGGAAAAAAAAAAATGTTTTTATGATTATTATGATTATTATTCTTATTGTTCTAATTTTTTGGGGGTAGTGAGTGAATCTTTTTTTTTTTTTTTGTGTGTGTGTGTGTGTGTGTGCGAACCCACGGGTGAGGCGTATATACTTCTTCAATGAGTCTATGAATTCCTTTGAAGTATTTATACTCTTTTGTTGTTTTCTTTTGTTTTGTTGTTCTTGTACCTGGATATAGTTAGTAGATGGTAGTTTGAAAAAAATGTCATTCTATGACAAATCTGATCGTGTAGGTTATGATGATAGAGACAAAGAACTAAATGAAGAATTGGAGGCAATGCTAGCCCGTACGCCTCCTCATATTCAGAGGCATCTTCAGCACCGTATTCATGATGGAATTCTTCAGCGTATGAAAGAAGAAACAACAAGGAAGTGTTGGGAATTTGTAAAAAAATATGAAACCTGCGTAAATACAGTTAAACCGTACAATCTGAAGGAATGCGTTCCTCATCGAGATGCTCTAAATGATTGTGCCCATGAAGTTAACCGTGAGGAAAATTATCAAAAGTATCGTTTACTCTATCTTCGCGGTGAACTTTTGAAATTGCACGAACAGCGTCTTGGACAAAAAATGGAGACCTTGAAGGCTCGTGTACCTGATTCTATTAGAGTCTGGAAGTCTGATTATGCACCAAAGTACGCAGATATGATGTCAGACCTTGGAGCAAAGCCTCCCACAGAGGATGTTAGTGAGACCAATAATAAATGAAGGAATGGAAGAAGAAAAAAGAAAAGAAAAGGAAATCATCGAAAGTTTGTTTTTTTTTTTTTTTTTTGTTTTTTTATCGACTGATAATTTTAATAAAAAACTCTCATTTACTTTTTCATCCTTTTTCGTTCATTTTTGCTCTTGGTGTTTTTATTAATTTCCTTCTCTTTTATTTTTTCTGTTAATACGAAGAAAAAAAGGAGGGGGAAAAAAAAAACGTAGATGCTTCGCGCGGCTCGTTTGTGTCTCTCCTGGAGACCTGCTGCGATTCAGCACCTCCCAGATGTAGCTCCTGAGCCGTACCCCAAAAAAATAGAGGAGGTTCAACGACAATACCGACCTTTATCCCTTAAGGCCCGACAAGCTTTAGCAGAAAAGTCAGATGAAGTGCAATATCATGTTATTACTCAGGATTGGTTTGGGCAACGTGTAGACAGTTTTCTTTCCCAACATCATCCAGAGTGGAGTTATGATACTATTAAAAAATTGGTGCAACAGGGTCATATTTACCGTTACCGTAAGAATGGAAAAAAGAAGTTTACTCGTTTGACAGATAGATTGGAGTTTGATGAACTACTTGTTGTACCGACTCATTCTTTTTGGGAGAAACAACTTGCTCCTCCTACAGGTGTTCACCAAGAAGATAAAACTCAACCACAATTTAAACTTTCTTCTCAAGTTCGAGAGATGGCACATAATATGGTACTATTTAAAAATGAACATGTTATTGTTATAAACAAACCTCATGGTGTTCCTATGATGCCAACTAGTAACCCTCAAGAAATGAGTATAACCGCTATGTTACCCGCTTGGAAATATACTAATACGGTTAAACCTATTGTGTGTCATAATCTTGATAAAGATACAAGTGGTTGTGTTGTTTTAGCTAGAACCAAAAATGCACACCGTATGCTTGGAAGAATGTTTGTTAAAAGAGTAGTACCAAATAGTGTCTACTGGGGTTTTTGTGTAGGTAAACCAAGCGTAAATTTTGGGAGAGTACGTATGCATTTCGAAGTTACTAGAGGTAATAAGGGTGATATTATAATTGCAAGACCTTCTCCTACTAAAACGTCTAAAGTGGGTATTGCAGAATTTGTAGTCAATGCGAGTGCATTAGAATTTGGAACTTTTGTTTCTTTTTATCCGTTAACAACACGTAGACACCAAGAGCGGATTATGGCGGCACATGCTCTTCGTTGTCCAATTCTAGGTGATGCTAAGTATGGAGGAGAATCTGCATTTCCATCATCATTGTCACTATTTTGGGATCCAGAAGATAAAGGGCTCCCATTGCACTTGCATCATAGAAAGATCCAATTACCATACAAGAATAGTGCAGGAGAGTTTATTTGTGTAACCGCTCCTCTACCTCCACATATGGAGAAGACGTTTAAAAAACTTGCTTGGCCATGTGAAGTAGATGACCCACTGATACCAGGATAGGGATTTGTTTTGTTTCTCACAATATTGCTTTACAAACAGTGTTTTTTTCTTACCTTTCGTAATGAAGATTTATTATTATTATTATTATTATTATTATTATTATCACTGGAGCCCATTAAATATTTCATGGGTTTTTTGGAGAGGTACATGGGGTTGAGAGGAGAAAGAAAGAAAAAAAAAAAACATGATTCTCTCTCTCTCACACACACACTCTCACTATGTTTCTGATTCTGTGTATTTGTTCCCACATGTAATAAGGGAATTTTTTTTTTTTTTCTTCCAGTGCAAATGTGTTTCTGTTGGTAAGCTCTATCACATGGTACCCTTTTTCTCTCTCTGTTCTAACTTGAAGGGATCTCATATGTGGTAATATTTGTTTTAAGTGCTTTATTTTTTTTGCATACATGGATCCTCTTTTTATCAGTCTGCCACCACGCTTTTATTCTCTCGCAAATGGTGAAGAGATAAAGATTCGGTATCTTAATGACCGTTTGCAGCGTTGTAGTGAATGGTGTGAAGTGCGAAAAAGAATTCAGACTGATGGCGCATATCTTGTACCTGGTATTATGGAAATAGCAGCTGATCCATCATCTTCTATTATTTTTCTTGCTATTAGAAACATGGAGTATATGGGAACTGGTATAATAGGCTTTGTTGTTGTTAACACCAGTTTTATTTTAACTCGAAAAGTTGTTGGCATTACTTGGATATCTGTCTTTGGTAGCTTTAAAAATCTTCATGTGGGACGTTCTTTGCTTCAACATGTAGAAGCTTTTTGCCGAGCTAATAGGGTAGAATTAATGGAAGTTATGTACAGCAATAATTCCACAACGTTGTTTAGTCGATTCGGTTTTCGTGTTACAACTCATCCTCGTATTTTCAGGAATAAAGCTGAACAGAAAAAAATAGTTCTATATCGGATACCACCTGTGCCGTGCTGTCTCAACAGTGGAGCCGTAAGGATCCGTTATGCTATTCCTGAGGACAAAAAACAATGGATATTTTGCATGTTAGAGGCATGCGGATATAATTTTGGTGGTTGTGATATGCTGCACAGAGTATTAGATGCTCAATTTCGTATATCTGCATGTGAAGAAAAGACTGGTCGTATTGTGGGGACTCTATCCATGGATGCTAGTGGATGGATTCTGTTTATTGCATGTGTAGAGGAGTATCGTGGACGGGGACTAGGTTCATTTTTATTGTTTCTTGCTATAGAGTGGCTACGGTTACGAGGTGTAAAATCTGTTTCGTTATCTCCTTTAAATAAACAGGTTATTGGTTTTTACAGGCGTTGGTTCTTCGATGTGGATAAATATGCTAGAGTTAAGAGAAAACGAAATTCCGAAGATCATATTATACTCAGTCGAGAAATTTTATTGGGTGAATCTTATCTGCCAGATGGGCATTCGCTTGAAGAATATTTATCACCCCCCAGTAACACATCCCAACAGGGGTGAACATAGAGACGCTGAACATAGTAAACCTTTAAATAGGTGACCCTTCATAGATTACCGCATAAATAGTATTCTTTTACTATTTAAATTTTCTTTTTAGGATTGGGTTATGGAGTCCACATGGGATACTAAGTAACATTATTTTATTTTGCAATTTAATTTTATTTTATTTTACAATTTGATGATGATGATTATTATTATTAATTATTATTATTTTGCTCTATTTTTTTTTATTTTCTTCTTGCTGTGGGAATCATCATTGTCAATAAGCAGAACGCCAGAGAAGGGGTGGGTAGTAAAGAAAAATCAAGCAGGGTTTTATTATTACTTGTAATTTCTTTAGGTTCTCTCTTTCTAACAACCTGTAAGCTACATAGACGCAAGGAAAGTAGCGAAGGTAAGGGATTATAGAGAGAAGCAAATAAAAAAAAAATCAGAAATGCCAGTGGTAGAAGTGTATGGTGTGGAACAATTTAGAGAGTTTGTAAACGATGATATGCTAACAGTTGCATGGTTTACTGCTGTATGGTGTGGCCCCTGTAAGACAATTGAGCGTCCAATGGAAAAACTCACGTATGATTTTCCAACAGTGCGCTTTGCAAAGGTGGACAGCGATACAAATTCTGAAATTGTATCGAAGTGCAAAGTACTTCAACTTCCAACCTTTATGCTTGTTCGCAGTGGTAAAATGCTCGGACATGTCATTGGGGGAAATGTGGAAGCATTGAAGCAAAAAATACGGGAAAACATGAACCCAAAGTAAAAGGCCAGCAAAAAAAAAACGAGGCGAATGGATAACACACAAGTGATCGTGTATCCGTGATTTTTGTACCCTTTTTTTTTGGTCTACATAATACGATTACGCATGGGATAGGTTAACCATTACTTTGAAAAAGGGTAAGAAACATTTTGTTTTTGTTTCTTGTACTTCTTTTTTTTTTTTCTTTTGTTCTTTTGTTCTTGTCATTTTGGTAAAGGTGTACTGAGTTGAGAAAAAGTCACATACTCACAAAACACACAAACACAACGATCGGTTGGGTATAATTTTTAAACCGGTCCAATACAGAAAGCGAACAAACGCTGAAAAGGAGTCTGCTTTTTTTTTTCTCTCTCTCTACTATTATTATTATTACTACTACTAGGTTAAAAAAAAAAAAAAAAAGCACAATGAGTGCGGCCAGACAGAACTATCTACAGATCCGCGAACAGCAACAGCTCAATCGTGAGCGGGCGCGAGAGGCGGCCATTGAACGTCAGCGTGAGGAAGAAATGATCCAACGCCAGAAGGCACAATACAATCACGTTTCCTCCCATGGATATGGCCAGCCAGGAGGTCGAAATAAAGATGATGTGGAGATTAAAGTATTCATCCGCGAGTGCGACGGGGATCGAGCGCAGACGTTCACCTTTAGGGAGAGCGACGCCACGCAACAGCGTGTGATCCCCGAGCCCGCAGCCAAGCCGAAGTCAACCAACCGACTCCCTGCACTCCCAGAACAATTAAAACAACAACAACAACAACAGTTATCGGCGAAGGCGGCAAATGCGGCGCGGGGAGTGGTGCCCAAGTACATTCTGCAGCGCAAGGCAGAACTCGCGGCGGAAAAGGAGGCGATCCAGCGAGAGGCGGAGCGGCAGAAAGAAATGTCGAAGTACCCGCCAGGACACCGGCCAGTAACAGAAGAAGAACGGAAGGAAACACTTGCTAAGCTCGCTCTCAGACGAAAGGAGTTGGAGGGTGAGCTGCATAAAATTCCTATTCGTTTCGATACACAGTCTATTAGAGCGAGACGGAGTAAAATTGAGGGTGAACTGAGAGAGATTGATGAGGCAGAACGGAAGTTCAGCTCATCAAAACAGCTCTTTGTTCCTATTTAATCAAAATAAAAGTGCGAAAACGCATAATGCATAGAGGATTATATATACTACTTTATTTAGTGGCCAAGAGAGGTGAGGATGCTGCACGTCAAAGTTTTCTTCTTTTTTTTTTTCTTTCACCGCATTTTTGCTATTCTCTCTCTCTCTTCTTTTTTTTTGTCATTTTTGTCTTATTTCTTTTCACGATATGTACGATGCTTGCGTGAATTCCCATTTCTCTTCTGCAGGAGGAAAAATTTCACTGTGGTAGGGCGCAACGTCTCTTCAGTGAACCTTTTTTTTTGCTTTCTCTTCTTTTTTCTTCTTCGTGTGCACACTGTGCTTTGTCTTTTTCTTCTTTTTTCTTTACAAACTTTTCCCTATTTACACGCCTAGACACACACGAAGTGAAAGAGTGAGAAGGGGAAAGTGAATTCGCCCTATAGAGAGAGTGTGTGTGTGAGGGAAAAGTAAACAATAGATAGATTTTTGGACGGGATTACGAGTGGTGTATGTGTGTGTGTGATTTATTTTTTTTTTTTTTTTTTTTTTGTGGATCATGTAATTGCTTCTCGTCTTTTTTTTTTTTTTTTTTTACTAGATCCTGCAGGTATATCTAATGAATTACCGAGAACAGTTAATTGAATTTTATAATAAACATAATCCTGCCAAGTTAAATGAAGTGGACTCGCTCCTCCGTACATTTGCAGGTAGAGAAGAATCTATGTTTGCAGCCTTACGTACAAAGTATGAAGGAGAGGGATTCGTAGAAAAAAATGAAAAGTTATCCTTAGTAACGGGTGACCCTTCAGAATCTGACTCGAATACTCCATTACGTAAAAATGATGTACATCTTGAGTTGCGTAGTCTTCTTCAAGACATGGAGTCTGTTGATTTAGAGAAGCTTCTGAGTCAGTTAAAGGGTAAATCAACAGTTGGAGGTGATCTCCTTACTCATGCATTAACGTTTATGAAACATTTTTCCGCATGCGCTCGTCGATTTCAGGAACTAAGTCAAACAGTAGTGAATACAAAGACTAATGCTGTGTATCATGATAAATCAATTCAAACCGAGAGTGTGGAAGCTGATCGACGCAATACTGAAGTACAGGCAGTTGCAGCCGTTGTAGATGTGAATGTGCAAACGGATGTAGTTAGTGATGAAGAAAGCAGTAGTAACAGTGACGTTGGTAGCCCTTATAAAGCTGCAGTAAATAATTACGAAGAAATCAATTCGGAAAAGGAGGAGAAGAAGAATATAGCACCAGCTGATGAGAACATTAAAAAAAGCCCATGTAAAAATATTCCATTGAGGTATTCGAAAGAAGAAAAAGAAATAGAAGAAGAAGAAGAATGGATTCATCAACGACGCGTTATCGGTACAGTACATAGACTGAAACCTGATACACATAAACGTAGAGAAGTTATTGGTGCATTATTAGCTAAGGGACTACTTGCTGACTCTGACTCCATTACTCTTCAGCCTGGAGTATATTATGAAAATTTATCTTTTATAGATTCTGGTGATGTAGAACTTGTCGCTGCCTTTCCTGGAGCATTAGTTACTATTAAACCAATGAGTGATTTAGAGCCTATTATTCGTGTAGAGGGTACCAATACACGGCTACGAGTAAGTGGGATTGTCTTTGTACAGAATGATGCAAACGACAACACAGCAGCAGATCCTGAAATTCCACACAAACCGTTAGTTGCTGTTGTATCTGCGGCCCGTGTGGAATTTCATGGATGTCAGTTCTTTCAAGGGAGTTGTGCCGTGGAGGCTATTGGTGCGGGTACAACTGTACATCTGCGCCTCTGTGTGCTTTCCGCCTGTTCGTTTGCTGGTGTATTTGTACATCATGGAGCCACTGTGGTGTCACTGCAGTGTAGTCTGCGGCTTTGCGAGGCGGGTATTCGTGTTGCGGGCTCTTCGTCTATTCAAGCAACAGAGACGGTGATGGAGGCAAACACCACCGACGGTGTTGTGGGATATGCGGGGGCGACAGTAACACTACGACGTTGTAGTATTCTGCGTAATGGTGGTAATGGTGTGTTTCTCGCCAGTGATGCTACACTTGTGCTGCGGGACTGTACAGTGGAGTTGAATGGACTCTACGGTATACAACGACTGCAGGGATCTATTTTACATTTAAAGGATAGTGTGCTGCGGGATAACGCGTTGCTTCCCGTCAACAACTTGAATGTTGCATAAAAGGGTCTGTGATGAGGAAAGCAGCTAAACATATATATATATGAAGAAGAAGTGGAAAAGAAAAAAAGGAATGGAAAGTTGGCTTGTACTAAATGTTTTTCAAGAGTGCTTGGGAGAAAAAAGGGATAAGTTGCTTCTCTTTCTTCTTGATTATTTACTTCTTTATCAAATTTTCGAATGGGATGAGTTGTTGTTCTTGTTGTTGTTTTCTTTCCCGTTGCTAGTCGTTTTTTTTTTTTTCACATTTGAAGTCCATATTTTTTATTGAAGGGAATATTGTTATTCCATTATTCTGCATGTATATATATTTAGATGCATTCTCAAAACTTTCTTGTTTTTTTCTTTTCCTTTTTTTTCTTTTGTATGTCATTCCTATCTTATTTTCTCCATAATCCATGCATACAGCCACATCAACAACAACAACAACAACAACAACAATGAACGACGATGAACTGGAGGAATTATTTGCCTTTAGTCAGTACACTGCCACTGCCGCTACACCTTCTTCTTCTTCCTCTTTCTCCACATCGGCCGGACTGCGGGAAAATTCCTCTATTAACACTATTCGAACAGAAAATAACCGAAAGAAGAGTAATGCACCTACTACCACCAATTCTCTGCCTGAAACCCTGCAACTGCCACCGGATAAAGAAGAAAAACTTTTTGATTATCAGAAAGAGGGAATTCATTGGCTTTATGAAAGACATCGAAAGGGTCGTGGATGTTTGTTGGCAGATGAAATGGGACTTGGAAAAACGGTTCAGGTATCCACTTTTATTGGTGCTCTTTATAAGCATAAATATGCTACGAGTACCATTATTATTGTACCACCTACTTTATTACCTATATGGGAATCTGCATTATTGGAGTGGGGATGTTTAAAGGCTCCAATTGTGGAAGTTATTCATAATGATCCCAAAGCAAAAAGATTACAACGTTGGCGACGTCTTAAACATGGTACATCTTGTATTTTTCTAACTACATACGGTGTACTACGTCAAGATAGTGTCGCTATGGGAGTACGTATGGTGGATTATGTTATTATGGATGAGGCACATTTAATTAAAGATGCCTCTACACAAACTTTTCAATGTGCCATGTCACTCTCATCTCGACATCGTATTGCTATAACAGGAACTCCATTAATGAATAATTTTGAAGATTTATGGAGTATTTTTCAGTTTGTTGATGGTTCTATTCTTGGTATTAACCGATCAGATTTTCGATCTATTAATGCTCTTCTCTTGCGTGGAAATGAACGTGATGCCATTGAAAAGGAACGTTGTGATGCTGGTAGGCAACTTGCACTTATTCAAGATGCTATAAGACCATATATGCTACGTCGTGATAAGCGTCAAGTTCGGACGCTAGAAGTTGAGAAACGAGATTTAGTGGTTTGGGTACGCCTAGACAAGATACAAGAAGAACAATATATCTCTCTTATTGATAGTGATCGAGTAGCGATGACTTGTCGAAATCCAGATAATTCACAGTCACTTGTTCTTCTTACATCATTAATGAAAACTTGTGATCATCCATGGTTGAATCTAAGTGATGAGGCGTATCGAGAGGCATTTCAATCTCCATTTACACATTATACTGTAGATGTAGATTTTGGGGATATTTTTAGCAGCTCAAAAATTTCCTCTGCTCTTGCGTTAGTTGTGAAATGCATTAATGAGGGACGTAAAACCCTTATCTTCTCTCGATCTAAACGACTTCTTGATTTATTTGCCATTGCCCTTCATCTTTGGTGGATTAACTTTGCCCGTCTTGATGGGGATGTCCCTGTGGAGACCCGAGTGGAGACGATGCGTCACTTTAACGACACAGCAGGACTGTGGGTGTGTTTGTTGACCACACAAGTGGGAGGTGTGGGACTCACGGCGGCGGCGGCCTCAGCGGTGGTGCTGCTCGATCCAAGTTGGAATCCCTCCACAGACGCGCAGGCCATTGATCGCGTCCATCGCATTGGGCAAACACGCGATGTGGTGGTCTATCGCCTCATCACATGCGGTACGGTGGAGGAGAAGGTGTATCGTAATCAGGTGTTTAAGGGAATGGCCGCTCGCCAGGGAACGACAGCCGCACAGACAGAGAAGGAGAAGGAGAAGGAGAAGAAGGCAGAGTTCTATCGATACTTCACACGACTGCAACTACGGAGTATGTTTGAATTAGGCACACGAGACAGAAGTGAGACGGCAGCCCAATTGGAGTGTTTACATCCCAATACCGTATCCACAGAGGAACGGGCAGAACTAACAGCATTGCCGTTTGTGTGTGATGTAAGCAATAACAGTTGTGTGCATGTGGAAGCGGTGGTGGAGACAGACGATGGAGAGATGGAGGAGAGTGGGCTAAGTAGCACAAGCCGCACGGGTGTAAAGCGTAGACGACAAGCAAGCTCAAGATCCTCTCTTGCGAAGGAGCAACGACAAGAAATTCTCAGTCAAGAAGAGTTGTCCGACATGCTTCTTCAATTAGAAGATAACAGCAAGGAGAGTTATTCAGTGGATGAGTCTATGTTAACCTATGATGATTAGTGTAGAATGCTTTCTCTCTCTTTCTCTCTTTCTATGTATATATACTATACAGTGGATAGATGAATTGATGCACGGTTGCTTTACATACTATGACTCTTTTGTAAATCTCTTTCTCTCTCTGTGTGTGTCTGTGTGTTCAATTAATGTACGTCCATCTGTTTCTACGAATAATTGCTGCAGATGTTGTTAGTTAACATCATTGATTTTTTTTCCATGAGAAGAAGAAAAAGAAAAAGAAAAAGAGACCCCCCCCCCCAAAAAAAAAAAAAAAAAAAAAAAAAAAAAAACTCCTGGAAACATGTTTTTTTTTTTTTTCACAGAGTATAATTCTTATTATTTTTGTGTGTAAACTCAATACCCTTGTACCGTATTCTGCCCTAGAAAGTCTTAAATTCAACCTGTTTTTGTATTTTTGTTTTTGTTAAAAAGAAAATAGATTTACTTCACCTCCTTAGATACACTTGTATCACGTATTATTTTCCTCAGAGGCTTTGGGAAAGAGATTGTTTCCCCCCTTATTCATTGCAGATTCTCTATGTGGTCAAACACATACAGACATCATCTATCTATGTATCTATATATTTATTTATTTCTCTTTCCTTCTTTTTTTTTATTATTATTTCCCAAATAGAAGAACAAAGAAGCAAGTTGTACCTGTGACATTTTGTTTTCTATTATTTATTATTATTATTATTATTATTATTATTATTATTATTATTATTATTATTATTATTATTTAGTATTGCTCTTATTTTGTGGTTTACTTCCCACTAATATAAACTACTATCCCTCTATTATCTCTTCAACGATGAGCGCATCGTTGGTTCAGCTGTACTGTTATGATATCAGCGGTGGAATGGCGGCTAGTATGAGTCTCATGCTAGTTGGTCGCCATATTGACAGTATTTGGCATACCGCTATTGTTGTGTATGGAAAGGAATTCTACTTTGATGGTGGTACGGGTATTGTGTATGAGTCACCAGGGCGAACTCGCTTTGGAACCCCAAAACGTGTGGAGTCTTTAGGCACAACAAACAAAACAGAGTCGGAGTTTCTTGCATGGACGCAGCAACAGCGGCGACAAGGAGGATTCGGTCCAAATGATTACAGTTTACTTAATCGCAACTGCAATCACTTTACACAAGTGGCAGCCCAATTTCTAGTGGGACGTGATATCCCGGATGATATTCGTAATATGATTCCCACGCTGCTGAGCACACCGCTGGGCAATATGCTGCGGCCCATACTCGAGCGAATCACAACAGCACCAGCAGGAGGAACTTCGACACCAGCAACGCAGCCAACACGTGAGTTGCCCTCAACGAGTCAAACGAATTGTAATGGACTGTTGTCTAGGAAAAATCAGTTTACACCAGATGAAGAAGATGATTTAATGCTGGCTTGTACAATGCTGCAAAGTAATGAATGGCTATCTGCAGGAACAGAAGAAGGACTTGATATGACGTTGGGTGCGGTAACACAATTGAGAAGTGTGATGACAAATATTCTACAAAATCCCACAGAGTCTAAATATCGTGGTCTTTCAACAAGTAGTAAAAGTTATGCAGAACATCTATTACCACTAGAAGAGTTTGGTCTCCTTGAAATATTGCGTTTGTGTGGATTTCGTCTTCGTCAACACCCTTCAGGAACTGGACAACAATGGTATTTGAGTGACGCGGATGGGAATGAAGATATTCTTACTATTGTAACCATTCGTTTAAATGAACTCATGGATGCGATAAAGGCAGATGCACCATCCTACGCAGCAAAAAAAGAAGTCCATACAAATAAGGAAACTTGTCCTCAAAGTATTGCTGGGAATACAACAACAGAAGATTCTATGATGGACATTATGTTGCATAATGCTGGTAAACCAATTTCTTCTCTTGCTGAATTATTGAAATGGTCTGCAGATAAACCGGCTCCTATTAGACCTGCTGTACCGTGTAGATCTCGTGTAAATAGTAATACCCGTGAAGATTATCCACGATTACTGGTCTGTCATGACATGTGTGGTGGATATCTTCCTGGTGATTATCCCCGTTTTGCACTATGCGATTCTACTTCAGTGACTCCTGTTGTAGATGTAAGCTACACAATAAATTATTGGCATCTTGTGGATTATTTTGTTTACTTTTCACACCATCGTGTTACTATTCCTCCAAAAGAATGGATTAACGCTGCACATCGTGAAGGTGTACCAGCACTTGGTACTTTTATAAGTGAAGGCGATGGATTGGATGTACGTATGTTGGTACATGATGCAAAGGAAATGAGTAAAGTGATTAGTAAACTTGTGGAACTTTGTAATGCGTACAACTTTGACGGTTATCTTATTAACATTGAAAGTGATATTGATCAAGTACTGGCAAGTCGTCTTGTTACCTTTACATCTATGCTTCGTCAGACACTTAACAAACGTCGCCCCGTCTCATCCTGTGAGCGGGTTGTGATATGGTATGATGCTGTTACTATAGAGGGTAAAGTGCATTATCAAAATAGCCTCTCTTTAAAGAATAAACCATTCTTTGAAGCTGCTAATGGTTTATTTACAAATTATGGATGGAACCCTTTACGTTTGGGTATGTCAGAGGCGTTAGCAGGAGGTCGTGCCCATGATGTTTATGCTGGAGTGGATGTGTTTGGTCGAAGTGGTATGTATGGTGGTGGGGGTTACAACTGCAATCTGGCTGTGGGATGTACGGCGGCAGCGAAACTCTCCGTGGCCCTCTTCGCACCGGGATGGACATTAGAAAATGAGGGGCATAAACAGCGAGAGACATTTTTACGTGCAAATGCCACCATGTGGTCTAAAATGCAGGATTTCTTTAATACGAAATGTCTTGTGTATGAGAGTTTACCTGTATGGACCTGTTTTCGTTCTGGAGTGGGGAAACAATTTTATGTGAATGGGGAATGTGTGGTGGGTGGAGGAGGAGTCTCTTCATCTGTGGAGTGGTGTCAACTTTCACAAACACAGTTGAATCCATCTTATCAATTTTCACATGGGAAGAATGCGAAAGATACGTGGTGTGTGCTTTCAATGGAGGGAGAAGGAGAAGGTTCAACTGTTACTAAGCCACACGGTGTGATTCCTCTGGAATGGAAAAGTGAAACTGCATGGATGGGTGATCGTAGTATGTGTTTTGATGTTCCTTCTCGCTCTGCGGTGATACTTGTACGATGGAAAGTAAATATAAGTGAATCCAACAGTAAAAGTGATGGAGGAAATAGAGCATTGGCATTTCTTGATATTGCATGGCATCGTAAATCTAACACCCATCATTCATGCAAAGTACGAGTTGAAGGTATTTGTGATGATTCCACTACACAAATTGTTTTTGGTAATAATGATTCTAGTAATGGTTTGGAAATGAAAACTCTCATAACTGTGGGTGAGTGGGAAATTGTACGCTACATCATTCCCTTACATACACGATGGACTCATTTAACTTCTGTGGCTGTATTAAATACATCTGCAGATACTCCAATCCAATGTACGGTGGGAGGCATTGCGATTACACAAGCCTCTGATAGTAATAATGATAGTATCTTGCTAGTGGGTGCCGCAAAACAACTATCCCCGGATATGTATCATGTTAAACACGTAAAGAAACACCCAACCATTAAACTGATTCAGATAAATATGCCAAAGGATATATTACAATGGGAGAATGTTTTATTATTTGCAAAGGTGAGCACTGGAGGTGAGAAGTCTATTTGTGTATACATGGGACAACATGTGGTGGAATCAGCAATGTGGGTTCAACTAAACGTACCAACGTCTGCGGTGGTGCAGGAGATAAGTGTCCGTCGTATCCCATCAATCCATTGAACTACACGGGGTCTAGAGGGAATAAAGAGAAAAGAAGAGAAGAAAAAGAAGAAAAATAATAAATGAGAAAGAAAATGGGGAGATTGGGGTGTAGGATGGGAGATAATTGTGTTTGCGTTACCACGACTTGCTTCCTTGCTTTCTTTCTAGATTTCCTGATGATCTATTTATATCTTCTGTTATTGAACGTATATTAAGAACTGGGGGTGTGTGGGTGGGGTTGAATCTGTGGATGTAATTACTCTGTGCGGCCAGCATTCCTCCTCTTGTTGTTGTTGTTCTCTTTTTTTCTTTTTTATGTTTTTTTTTTTTTTTTTCATTTCTCCTTTGTTTGATTTGTTTTCATTGTTTCTACTCCTCACTATTCTTTTTTTTTTTTTTTGCTCTACTGCTTGTAATGATATCTCTTATTATTATTATTTTTTTTTTTTTCTTAGAGTTCACAGTTGAAGAGATGTTTCCGTTTCGTCGCTCACTCTTTAGTCTCGCCGGTGGCTTTATGATCACCGATTTCTACGTGAACTGTGTGAACATTACGAATTTCCGCTTAGAGCCCCTCCCAACAATCTACGTGGAAGACAAGAAAGAAAGTACGTCGAACTCTAAAAGTTCCATTATTTATGGTATTGCCCGTCGTGTGGGAATGGCAGCCGACACGTACGATGAGATGCCAATAACTTCACTGCGTGATGACATTGAAATGTTTATGCAGAGGAATACTTTGGTTGGTGCAATGGTGGTGTGTACTCTAGTATCGTTTGGTGGTTTATGGTCATTGCTTGGTTCAGCCTCCGCTATAGCGTTTGACGGTGAGAGTGGGTCATATCGCTATGCAGCTGTAAAAGATTGGTTGAGTAGATGATTCTATATCCGAATCTATATTTGGATATAGAGAAAAATAGAGAGAGAGTTAGAGAGAGAAAGAGAGATATTCAGTCGGGCACATACTTCTGAATAAAAATGCGAGCGTATGTGCATATATTTATATATATTTATATATATATATATACTCCTATTCACGTATATGCACGTGATATTGTTCTTTAATATTCTATACTTTTTACCCTTTCTTCTACGTTTACTATCTTTTACTATGGTCTTCTGCACTTTATGCTATATTAACTGTCTCTTTTTTTTGTCGTGGTTGTTATTTACTGCTATACCGTTATCCCTTTTTTTTTATTTATTTTTGCAACTCCACGAATATTACTTTTTACTACTTCTCTTTTTTCTTTCTTTGTGCCTTACTTTCCTATATTACACATTCTTATATAATCAAGAAGAATAACTTCTCCGTAGGAGAGGAGAATAATAGCAACACAGAGACCTTCTCTCTTTCTCTCTTTCCGCGTGTCTCCTTCTTTCTTTCACTCTGTCTGTTTGTGTGCGTGTGTGTACTTGTGTGATAGGGAGATAGAGGTAACAAGAGAGAGAAAGTGACTACGTGTGTGTGTGTGTGTGTACTTTTCCTACTTTGAGTATCTGTGTGTATTTATTTATTTATTTTTATTTCTTCTTTAGTGTGCGGTATGTCATCTACGCGTAGTGAGTTTACCGTGTGTGGTCTTATTAACCACCCGGTATTCCAGCAGTGCACAGAGGCCGCGGCGTACCTGCAGAAGGAGTACAGTGATCTCTATCACGTGAATATCTATCACGAGGTCCCGCGGGACTTCTACAGCCGTCGGCAGAAGTTAATAGACGCTAAACAGATTGAAGATGATCATATGGATGTCATTGTCATTCAAACAGGCGTGCCACAGGCCATGTCTGGTGAGGCATTCCTGCAGCGTTTACAGCAGGAGACAAAATTTCGTGTTCTTAATATTCCAGTGGATCATGTGAATTCATATGTAAACATGGCAGTGGCATCCTGGAAGAAATTCCTGCGTCAACGTGGAAACAGTTATGCTTGGATGCTAGTCTCTATTGGAGATGTGATCTGTGGTCGCATTACGTTTGAGCTCTACTCGCAGGTGTTGCCACGCACATGCAATAATTTCTGGCATCTCTGCTGTGGAGATCTCGGCACAATTGTGCGGCCACGTGAACGGGGACAACAACAGGTGCCTATGCAGCACATCACACATATGAAGAAACAACAACAACAACAACAACAACAACAAAAAGAACAAGAAGAAGAACCTCATCTCAATGGTAATGGTACGCAAGGAGGGGAATCCCAACAACCAGAAGAAGCAACAGAAAGAGGAGAAGGTACACAACCCCAAATCAATGGAACAACAACAACAAAAGCAGAAAAAGAAAATAAAGAAGAAGAAGAAGAAAATGGAGGAGAAGAAGAGGTGCGACTATCATATAAGGGAACGACATTCTTCCGTACTCTTCACGGTGCGTGGGTGATGGCTGGTGATATCACCGGTGATCACGGCGGCAATGGGGGCCACTCCTGCTACGGCCGCCATTTCCCAGATGAGTCCTATGCCATTCCACACGATACCAGCGGTGTGATTGGAATGTGCAACGACGGCGGCGGCAACACAAATGCCTCTTCTTTTTATATTACAATGAAGCCAATGGCGTGGATGAATGGACGATACGTCGCCTTTGGAAGAGTGATGGATGGCATGCAGGTGGTGGAGGCCATACACAACGTGGATGTAAGACACAATCAGAGCCCGCGGGAGGTAATCACCATTGTTGATTGTGGGGTGATTGATCTCACAGAGTAATGATGAGGAGGATGATGATGGTGGGGTGGCTGGAAGAAAGGGCTCAAGAAGAAAAAGAAAAGAATATATGAAAAAGAAAAGAAATATAGAAGAAGAAGGGGAAAAAAAAAGAAAAGAATGAAGATGGAGTAGACAACGATGTTTCTCAATGTTATATATGTCAAGCGGAACTCTGTAGAGATTCCAAACTGTATTGCTACCACTGTTGAAGCGATACCAGCAAACAAACAAAAAAAAAAAAGAAAAAACCAAGAAAGATGAAATGTTTTAGCTATATCACTGCGGTGGTTTTTCCGCTATTTGAATAACTTTATATCATTTTTTTGTTGAACCTCGTATATTTCCCGCTTTCTTTCTTTCTTTCTTTCCTTTTTTTTAGATGGAGAGTGTATTGTGCCATGAAACGATATGAAAACGACGCGAAAAAATTGCAGTCGCTCGGTTTCAGCAAAACCAAGTCTTTACAAGCGCTAAAAGACACCGGTGGTAACTACAATCTTGCTCTCAAGACACTTAATCAACAATGTGAACAACGAGCTCCAGCTCCAGTTCCAGTAAAGACGGAGGTGCGGAAAAAAAACCCAGACCCAGAAACAACGGAGGTCATCACAAGTACCCCACCAAAACGTGAACGGAAACATCCCTGTATTGCTCAATTTAAGACATGCTATTTTGGAGATCGTTGTCTCTTGCGTGATTACCCTGCGAACACATGTATAAACTACTTTAATGGAAGCTGTTTATATGGTGAATTCTGTACTAAACTACACCATGTGGATGGTGTAGATATTCGTGCTGATCGAAGACCCCCAGTGCGTGGAAACACATTGAAACTTCCAACAGGTGTTATTGTGGATGTATCTGAATCCAGTGGTGGTCATGTGCTCATAGGAAGAGTGGTATCTAATCCTGCAGATACTGATAAAGATTTCGATAATAATGTAATAGAACCTCTTCCCCATCCAGGTCGTTTTAATCGCATTCAAGGTTCTGAACCAACATATACGGATCCCCATGCACCCAATTGGCAGACAGAACAAATACCGTCTGTAAATGCTCCAAAACCATTTTTAGAGGCTGTGAAAAAGAATTCATCTGGTCAACAAGAAGAATCATCACATCCACCAAGGATACTGCAAGTTGTAAAGAGTCAAAGTTCCCCTTCTTCTACTACTACTTCTCCTCCTCCTCAAGCTTCCTTAAGTAAACCCAGAGCTAAACATCCGTGTTTAGCACAATTTGGATCATGCAAGTATGGGAAGGAGTGTAATCATTCAGAAGTAGATGCGGATGTGTGTGTCTTTTTTCTAAACGGTCATTGTAATCGAGGCTCAACTTGTCTCTATCGGCATGAAATGGGCATAGATTGTCTTTTGCCTACAAGGCCAGTTCTACAAGAACAGTCTAATGAGAGTTTATCAAATAACCAGACTATGAAAAGGTTAGAGGGTCGACAAGAGAAGGATAAGATGGCGGTAGTGTTGAGGGAGGAAGAAAAAGAGGAGGAAGCAGTCTGGGAAAAGCAACCGACTGGGGTAATGTTGTCTGATTTTCTTTCCGATGTGGAAGTTAACGAAAGTGAGGCAATCTTTCAAGAGCAAAACTACTCACAAGAACAGTATTCATATCAACCAAGTGATGATAAAGAATTGGAAGCACTTATGGGTCTTTTGGAAGCATTTCCATCTGCTGAACCTTATTTACTATTACAAACCCTTCGATGTGCTAATGGGGATGTTAATTTTGTTGCAGATACTTTAAGTAAGTTAGATGGATTTGAAAGTGCTGAAGAAATTAATGCTATTCTCTGGGAAGAACGTGCAAAAGAGGATACATCTGTGCAAGAAGCTGGATTACAGTCAAATCATGAGTGTTTTCTCACCTTATGTACTCTATTCCCTGCAGTGGAAACATCCTCTATTGAAGCAGTTCTGAGTAGATGTAATGGAGACTATGCAGAAGCGTACGATACTCTTTTATGTTCTGTAGAGAACCTAACACGAAGAGATTACGGCAATCATTGGAATGGAAATATTAAACCAGCTGATGAATTGAGATTGCAAAAATTATATGCTATGTTTCCTTCTTTGCCAAAAGAAGTTATTCGTAGTACTTTTGGAGCCTCCGGTAGTGATGTTACCAAAACGAGTACCGCCCTTAATGAAATGATAGCAGAATTTTTAAAGTTTGAGAATGAGACGACTAAAACAACTACCAATAATAGTGTTTCTACAGTTCCTCGTGTATCGGATCGTTCTTACAAAACAACACAAGAGCCATTGCCATCCCATTTGCTGCAGCCGAGTGCTACACGAGAAGAAGTGCAAAAGTTCTGCGATGAAGTCGAACCAGAATTGCGTTCCATGGGAGACTGGCGACGTGTACGGGAGCGTGCGTACATTATTAATTCCTGTCGTTTGCGTGTAATGAGTCAAGCCTCTGCGGCGTATCTGCGTGGGGATGGAAAGACGGCGAAGGCCCTCAGTCGCCATGGGAAACAACTCGGATTGGAGTACAATCGACTCAATCGCATTGCGATGGTGGCGCTCGAACGGGAAAGACTCACGTCTAATCCCGCCTCAACGTTGGATTTGCATGGATTTCACCGGGATGAGGTGGTGGAGGTGCTGCGGCGGCGTGTGGAGTTGTGTGTGCGGAAGAAGATTCGTCGACTGACGATTGTTGTTGGTTGTGGACATCACAGTCGACGTGGGTACTCCACGATTTACCCCGCCGTTCTGCAACAACTACAGCAAGATCCACAATTGAAGGGAATTGTTGAAATTAAATCCATGAAACCAGCCTTCTTTGAGGTTCTGGTGACGTCAAGAAAAGAGTGAGGTGTTATCGCGCTCTCTCTCTCTTTCTTTCTTTCTTTCTCTCTCAACCACGTGCTATATGAAAGGAGTGGGGGGTTTAAGATATGGTTTGTAAAGGAATCTTCCGTATTCGTTAAAATATTATTGCTTTTACAAACTTTTATTATCTCTTTTTTTTTCTTGTTTTTTTTTTTTTTTTGTTATCCATATATTTATATATACATGTGTGTGTGTTTATGTATGTACTTGTGCGTTTGTTTTTTCTTAATACAATTGTTTCTGTTTGCTTGACTTTTGGTGGGGTGGATGGAGTGGTAGCGGCAGCAACAGAAGGTATGGCTAGTAGTAGTCGAGGTATTCTCATTGCCGGAGTTACAAACCGCGCGAGAACACAAATGGCAGAAGGTATTCTACGCCACTTAACAGGGAATGTTGTATTCATTAAGAGTGGAGGCCTCCATCATGAAGCAACAGTTCACCCCCTCGCTGTTAAGGTACTAAAAGATATTGGTATTGATATTAGTAGTCAATCGGTATCATCATTAGAAAGTGCAAGGAGACAACGAGACACGTATGATGTGTATATAAGCGTTGATACCAGCTACGAAAGGAGGACAACGGATAAAACGCAGCGACCCACTGGCATTATTAGAAAACATGATTCACATACCGAATCTAACGACGCTAAAAACATGATGTATGGTAGTGACCAAAAAGGCGATTTTAATAACAATAATTATTATAATACTAATAGTAATAGTAACGAATATTCTTCTGATGGTGAATGGAGAAAAGAGGAAGATGATACCGTTTACTATGATCCTTTACTTGTTCCAAGCACACCTTCTCATTGGCGAGTAGGAGCGGATGCAGCAGATGCACAACGTCAATGGCAAATATGGAGTCCACGTGATCCAAAGATTTTTCACGAAACTTCCACACGCAAATTTCAGGATCATCTTTATGAAGGAGAACCACTCTTTATGCGTCTTCATACTAATACCATGCGTACTCGAATGAAGATATCAGAGAGGTGGGAATTGGATGAAATTGCCACTCGTTATACTCTTGAGCGTCAGAGTGAACATGAAGCTCGTTTTGTGCAGGCTAGAGAGATCCTCTTACGGCGTTGTTTGGCGTTGCTCTCACGGTTGGAAGAGCACTACGGTGAACGATTGTTGTTGAATGATGAATTGTTAAAGGGAGAGAAGGGGAGAGATTTATCACAGCATACCCTGTAAACCGCATCTGTGGTGAAGCGTATAAATAAATAAGAAATACTGCTCTCCTTTTTTAGTTGTTTATTTTTTTCTTTTCCTCCTGGCGTCTTCATTGGACACCACTTTTTGAATGCAATTTTGATATATTCTTTGTTGTTGTTGTTGTTGTTTTTATTGTTGAAACTGTTTGCTGTTCCGTTGTTTCTTTTAACTTTTTTTCTCTATTGCTACTGGTCACCGACACCATTTTTTGGTTATTGAGGCTGTTGCTGAGCCAGTTTCGCATAGACACATCTACTCAACCTTTCTTCCTCCTATCTATCTATCTATTTATATATTTATCTATTGACTTTAGCTGTTCCTTAATATCCAATGTACAACGGCATTGGTTCAGTCAGCGTGAAAGGGACAGGTCTCAGCGGATATGTACAACGTAGTAAAGCGGCCATCTCGCAGCTTTCCAAATTCACACCGGTGGAGTATATAGATGATGTCCCACCGCCATCTGTAAATCCACTAGAGGCTCTTCGCCCTGCAAAGGAGAATAAAGAACTAGCCGCACGACTAGAGCAACATCAGTTGTTGCGATCCATAAAATTAAAAGTCCTGCTTTACCGCGAGGAGCGTATGGCGAGTGGAGTGCCAGATGATGTAATCAATCGCGAGTGTGAGACTTTACATGAGTCGCTGTTGCGTAATTACGCGGATGAGTTAAATGAAATGCGGCGGGCGGAGGCAAAGGAAACGGCGCAAAAGACCGCTGAACGCTTTGCGGCCGCATTTAACGTCAAACAGGGCACATTGGGTGATGCCTTTGATCGTGCCCAGCGGGAAGCGGAGCGGCAGGCAACAGAGGCAGAGCGTAGAAGAGCAATGGAACAGAAGATTGCAGAGAAGGTGAAGCGTGTAAGGGGAGAGTGAGAGTAAAGAAGAGAAAACAACAACAACAGAAGAAGATAAAGTGAGGGAGGGAGATGTATACGACGCTGTGAAACTGCATCTATCACTTATTTCCCAATCTCACTTTGTTTCTTCTTTATTCCCTTTCTTTCAATTACTTATTAACGCATACGCTTAGTTACAGATACACAAGACTCTGTCTCTATCTATCTATTTGTGTCTTCCTCTCTCTTTCTATATATCTGTATATACATATTTATATATTTGCGTCTTTTTGAAACTCTTCTTTGTTGTTTTTCTTTTTTTTTTTCTTTTTTTTCCCCCACCTCCATATTCTAAAAAAAAAATGATTTACTTATGTATATGATTGCCGTGCTCAAGTAGGATAAGAGCATGCAGCATCATCATCAGCAGCAGCCGGGTGAATTTACTGGTATTGTCAATGCGCCGATTGAGTCCGACTGGGCAACGATTGACTGGATTAGCTCGCAGCACGAAGCTAGTGAGCGACGTGTGGCTCGGCAACACAAGACTGGCGACGGTTCAATCACTGCACGTACACGAAACGCACTAACACAAAATGAAAGTTTTCTTGCTGCCTTTTTAACAGGACTTGTACTCGGTCTTCTTGGCGTATTTTGTGATGCATGTTCTCACTGGGTTTCAGCCTTTCGTCTTGGTATTTGTGCCAATTTCTTTTGGCTTGGACGTAATCTTTGTTGTGTAGTAGAAGAAGATTGTACTGGTTATTATACCTGGGGTGAATTCTTTCTTGGTAGAGGAGACCGTGTAGCGGCATTTGCTGATTTTTGTTTCTATGTACTTCTCTCTACCTTTGCCGCGATGATTGCATCTTTTGTATGTAAAGTGTACGCCCCTTACGCTGCGGGTGGTGGTATTAATGAAGTAAAAACGATTGTCTCTGGTCATCACGTGCGGCGATATCTTGGTGGATGGACACTTGTAACGAAAGCTATCGGTATGAGTTTCTCTACAGGCTCTGGCCTTGTGGTGGGAAAGGAGGGACCCTTTGTACATATTGGGGCTTGTGCGGGGGAAATCATTGCAAATCTATTCCCAAGTTATCGACTGGATGTTAAGAAACGTGAACTTATTGCGGCAGGAGCAGCAGGAGGCGTTGCCGTGGCGTTTGGTGCACCTGTTGGCGGAGTTATATTTGCATTGGAGGAGATTACAAGTTATTATAACTTTAAGGCCATGATGGCAGCTCTTATTTGCGGCGTAACGGCCGTGTTATTGCAATCACGTATTGATCTTTGGCATACAGGACATATTGTGCAATTTAGTGTGAATTATAAACATGATTGGCATTTTTTTCAATTGCCACTTTTTGCCATTTTGGGTGTTGTTGGTGGTCTTCTTGGATCTTTATTTAATGTGGTTAATATTCGTATCATTCGTTGGCGAAAGGCAAATCTTAAAATGTGGCGTGTAACGGAAGTTGCTGTTGTGGCCGCTATTACTGCTGTGGTAAACTTTATTACACCCTATAGTGCGGGAAGTTTATTAGAACTACTCGGAGATGCCTTTCAGGATTGTACTCCAAACAGTCCTATTGAACTTTGTCAAGGAAGTAATGTTAAAATATTTTTAAATCTTCTTTTAACAGCTTCGGTAAAGTTATTGCTATGTGTGTACACGGTAGGTACATTCTTACCTTCGGGTGTTCTCGTTCCATCTCTTGCTATTGGAGCCTTGTATGGTAGAGCGTTTGGTATTTTGTGTCGAGCTATACAAGAATCGTATGCCAGTTCATACATCTTTTCAGAATGTTGGAATCAAGATCTCTGTGTTATTCCTGGAGTTTATGCTATAGTGGGGGCGGCTGCAATGTTAACTGGAGTTACCCGAATGACTATTTGTCTTGCTATTATTATGTTTGAGTTAACTGGTTCACTCGATTATCTTGTTCCAGTTATTATTGGTATTTTATGCGCCAAGGCCGCCGCAGAAGGAGTGGGAGTTGAAGGTACATATGAAATTGGTATTGCCGAAAACAATTTACCGTTTCTTGATCCCAAGAAGGAGTGTTATATAGATGCCGTAGCGGAAGATGTATATGCGCAGCGTAAGTTCACTGTTCTCACCGCATATGGTTTCACTGTGGGAAAAATAAATGAGATTTTGCAAGAGATGCAAGTATCAGGATTCCCAGTGGTGAATTCTCTTGCAGATATGACACTTATTGGGTATGCCCCTACAAAGAAGATTGTACGGGCAATTCAGGTAGCAGCAGCGAAAGATAGTCGTATTAACTTTAATACTCCTGTCCGTTTTACCGCAACACCCTCTAGTGATTTAATATCATCATCAGCAGCATCACCAACAACAACAACAATAAAAACAACAACAACAACAACAGGAGGAGGAAGAGAAGAAGAACCTCTAGAACTTGATATCACATCTGTAGTGGAAAGTCCAATGCTGCAAGTGGAGCCGGAGTGTCCTGTCTCACGTATGCTCTTTCTATTCAAATCGCTTGGACTACGGCATATAATGGTGTGTAGACACTCAAAGTTCACGGGGTATATTAGTAAGAAAGACTTTATTAAGTTCTTGCGAGATGCGGAGCGGGCAGAACATATGGAGGATGTGGAACTTGAACGAGCCGGAGGAAGATAAAAACAAAAAGGAAAAACAAAAAGGAAAAAAAAAGAAAAAAAGAAAAAGAATAACATCTACAGTTTTTTTTTTTTTATTATTTATTTACTTATATTCGGCAGTGTTGAGAAAGTGCAAGCCATAAAAATAAAGAAAAGAAAGTGAAGAGGGGGTAGGGTCTTCAAAGTGGAAAAATACAAACGAAAAGGAAAAGAAAAAAAGAAAGAGGGATAGAAGAAGAAATGAGAAGGTTGGTTGTGTCAACATCTTCCTATGCGTCTACGTACAAATAAGTTCAAATGGGATGCTACTGATGTTGTTGTTGTTGTTTTTGTTGTTTTCTCTGTGTTTCTCTTTATAATGATAATGAATATTATTTTTTTTTTTTTTGTTATTGTTCTTTTTTTTCACATGGTGGTTGGTACAGCAAAAAAAAAAAAAATTGTATATATATACAGAGAGAGAAAAAAAAAAAATAGGGGTCTTTCAGGTCATTCATTTCTATATGGAGCCTGCGAAGAAGATAGTGGCAGTGCAATAACTGTTTACAGAAGAAAAGAAACGAAAAGAAAAAAAAAAAAAACAGCAAAACGAAAGAATTAAGTGAAGAAAAAACGTACGTTAACAACAAAAGTTGTGACTCAAATCAAGTAAAAAAAAATATATATATATATATATATAGAAACATATAAAGGGAGAACAGTCAATGGGCTCTTGCTGCTGTAGGGAGTCGTCCGTTGAGAACAGTAGTCTCTCTGGTATATCAGAAAAAGATGGAGATAGTAATAAATGTCCCTTAATCTATGGACCATCACATGTAGAAGGGGAAGAAGAAGAAGACGATCAACAAAAACAAAAACAACAAAATGAAAAACAAGGAGACGAACAACATCAAAAACAACAATCATTATCATCATCATCAGGGGATCCGCATCATTCAACACTTGAACAGCAGAAACCCACAATTGCTAAAATAGCAACTCCTCCATTACCCTCCGCCTTATCGCCCATACACTCCATGCGGATCAAAGTCTACACCTCTAACGTTGCCCCCCCGTTCTCCGCCAGCTTCGATCGCGATCTCTCCGACACGATTGTCTGCTCCTCCACCACAATAGAGAACTCCTCCGCAGATCCCGCCATGTTTCACCGCCGAGTGGAGACCGCCGCCTCCTCAACGTGGCCGGAAGTGAGTATGCCCACCGTGAGTGTGCGATACGATCATCACCGCACGGTGTCTGGCACCACTGATAGTGAAGTGGATTACTCCCCGGTGGAGCGGAGTACATCCACACTGTATGAGCGGCGGTTGTCGTTTAATCAACGTGAACGAGAACGGGCATTAATGCGGGAGGTTTCATCTGTAGAGAGTGAAAAGCGTTATGCTATTGTAGAGTTTTTTAATAAAGCCTGGCGTACCATTGCCCTTCGGCATTACAGAGGTATTTGGGCTCTTACAAGACGTCAGATGGTGGTGAGTTATTTGGGGGAACGGTATGGATTACTTATGTGTTCTCTAGAGATGCAGGAGTCTATACATCGTCGACTGATAGAATGTGAGTGGCAAACACTACTCCTTAGTAAAATGCAGAAACTACGCTTTGATCGACAAAGGCACAACTATTATGAACTTGCAGCTACAACTCCTAGTGTAGATACTTATACTAGTACTAATACTAGTATTGGTATGCCGGCGGCGGCGGCCTCTCCTGCTGCTTCTCCTATTGACGAGGAATTGCCTGGAGCCGCCAGTGTTCCATTAGGACGTTGTGTTTCTGCCCCAAGTGTTTATTGGCGAAAGAGCCATCATCAACATAGTCGTAATCATGAACAACAACATCATCAACAGCGACATTTAACGTTGTTGCACCCCTTACCATTATCCCCTGCGGTTTCACCTTCACATTCACCATCACCACCACGACGGCGGCTGTATAAAAGCTACGGGGGATCTAGTAAAAGATTATTACCAACGTCAGTGCAGGAAATTATTTACAAAGAGTCATCTGAACGTCTGGGGTTAGAAAGGGAAGAGAAGCATGAACGTCAGGAATATCAATTAGGGTATGAAGAGGTCATGTCTTACTATAGTGTAGTATAGTTTTGGTATTAGTGAAAATCATTACAGTTTGGAGAGTCAAGCAAAGCAAGACAGGTGGGTGAGTGTGCCTTACTTGTTTCTCTCATTCAACTCCCGGTAGGTGAAAAAATTGATGAGTATTAGTTGTCGTTGTTGTTGTTGTTGTTGTAATGGGTTACTGCATGCTGTATCAATACATTATTTGGCAATGGCAGTTTTATGTCGTTCACTCTGTTCCAAAAAAAAAAAAACATATATTTATATATATATTATATTTATATATGCTTATAAAAACGCCAAAACAATAATAATAATAATAATAATAATAATAATAATAATAATAATAATAATAATAATATGAAAAAAAAAGCAATCTGTATTAATTTTTTTCTATTGTTTTATTCTGTTTCCTCTGTACTTGATAGTTTCTCCTTAATCCTTTTTTTTTTCAGTAGGACGGTATTTAATCATACTGCTGCTGATTATGCTGATAATGATATTATTCATGAATAGCTTTTGGTGAGGAAGTGGATGTGGCAGTTGTCGTTGTTTGCTCCTTCTAATGTCACATTGCTTCTTTTACCTTATTTCGCATGGTTTTTTTTTTTTTTTTTTTTTGTAGAAAGAAAGAAAAAAAAAACCTTGTGTGCTATATTTATCTGTGATTAAGGGTTATTTTTCCTTTTTTTTTTCTTTTTGTAAAATCAAACGAAAAAACTTTTTCTATGAAAGTGACGAAAAATAGCGTCTTGAATATACAGTGCAACGGTAGAGGCGGTGCTATGATTGGACCCTCTGTTTCGATTTATATTTATATATGTATATGTATGTGTGTCTGTACGGATCTCTCTCTCTCTCTCTCTATATATATATATAGAAAGAAGAGAAAGTGAAATGATGTTAACTTGTCTCGTTCATTTATGCTCCTATTACAGTATCTCTTTTTTATTGTTGTTGTTCTTTGCCTTATTTTGTTTTTTTCTTTTTTAATCTTCGTTCATTAGTGTTCTAGCTCAAGGAAGCTGGGGACACACATACACATAAAGAGAGAGAGAAAGAGAATTAAGTGGGAGGAATTAGAATCACTCAAAAAAAAAAAAAAGAAAAAAAAAAAAATGGCAACAGTCAATTTGGAGGAAATGATGCAAAAGCCCGTAGTGTGCTTTACTGTGTACGGCGATACTTACACGGGTGTCTTGCAGGGTGTTGATAATAACTTTAACCTCGTTATTGATAAGAGTGCAGGGGATCATCAACAGCAGGGACAAGAGAAGCAGGCGGATTTGTGCTTTGTGCGAGGTGAGACCGTAGTGTATATTGGGTTCAACGACAAGGATGAGCCAAAGAACACGAATGGTGGTTAATAATGAGTGAGAGAGAGAGAGAGACGATACTAACAGCGTATAAAGTACCATACATCTATATATATATATATATATATATATATATATATATATATATATATGTATGTGTGTATGTGTGAGTTTGTCTTGGAAGAGGTGATGATGATGATGGAAAGTGGTGGGGTGCCGTTGATGAACAAACTACCGATAGATTCGTTTTCTTCCCCTTATCTCTATTTTCTTTTCTTCTGCTTTCCTATTTTGTAAATGATATATTCTTTCTTTCCTTTCCTCCTTTTATATTTTTTTTTCTCTTCTTCTTCCTCCTCTTGATTATATTATTGAAACCCTCTATCTCTCTAATAATAATAACAATAATAAAAAGGTGAATCGCGGAGTTTTCGCTTCTCACTACCGCAATGTCTTCCCTGCCTGGTGTGGCGCGGTATGAACGGATGCCAACCCGCACAAAAATACAATTTTTCTGGTGTTCTATGCTGGTGATGGGCTTTGCGTATCAATTTCTTAAAATGACAGTACTGCGAGTACAGCCGAAACGAGAGGAGCAGATGTACACACACGTCCAGCGGCTCTACGGTGATAATATACCGCCTGAACTGCTAGAGATCGCCAAACGTCAGCGGGAGGCGCGGGATGCATTAACACTCACAAATATGTGGAGAACACCAACACCGGGAGAAACTGCAGGAGCACTTCAACATGAATTGGATCCCCGCCGTATTGCGCAACTGCGAAGTCACAATGGATATTAAGTTAGTGAGTTTTCATAGTGTGACGATATGGATAAAGATGATGATGGTGATAATTGTGATGATGGTGGTGGTTGGGTGTATTTGCTATTGGTGGTCTGTTGCATCTGCACATATCTATTATTAGTGTGTGTGGAGAGAGTTGTGTGAAAGAGGAGGAAAGAAAGTAAAATGTGAGTATGAGAATTATTAGTACGCTGGAGGGAATGGAGTTTAAAAGCATTCTATTGTAGTTCTTGTGGTTATTCGTTACTTCTCTACCCTTCTCTCTTTTTTTTCTCATTTATTAGTCGTCGTATATACATATCTCTATACATATTAGAGAAGTCACCGCAACTTCCCCCCAAAATAAGAAAAAAAAGGAAAATAATAATAATATTAATATTAATAATTAGGTTTCCTCTTCTTTTGCAAGCAAAAAAAAAAAAAAAAAGCAAAAACAAGGGGGGAAATAGAAATGCGTATATATGTACATGTGCGGGAGAAGGTTATTCCGCTTGAGTGTGGTGATGGCACGCAAGATGTGATCTGGCTTGGAAATGCTGCGATGGTACACTACGATGCGACCTTTGGAAGGAAGTACGGCTCCCCAAAGTCTATTCAGAAAGAAGGTGGTGTGATGTGTGATCCCAATGCCCGGGTGTGTGATGTACTGGACGACAATCAGCATGTGTTTGCTGTTCTGGATACGATTGATGAGGATTAATGTACACACAAAAAAAAAGAAAACAAGAAAGTTGGGAGGTTATTGAACAATTGGAATGTTGTGTTCTCTCATCACGGATGTAGTTGTTGCTATTGTTTTTGTTTTTGTTCGTTTTCCTCCTTTTTTTGTGTATGGTTGCTGATGTTATTGATGTTGCCGTTGTAATAGTTATTGGACTCTCTCTCTCTCTCTCTTTTTTTTTCCACCATATGGGTGTCGTTTGATTATTATTGTTTTTTTTTTTTTTTTTTTTTAAGCAAGAGGATGATGATTATTTTTTTTTTTCCTTCTCTATGGATTCTTGTTTCCTCCCTCTGTAAGTAAATTGTGTACATTCTCTTTATTTCTATTACCTTTTCTCCGTCTCATTCATCTATATATGCACATAAACACAACAAGGGGCAGAAATGATAGGAGGCAATCAAATTCTACAGGTGGCGCGTTCTGTTGCCAACGGTGATGGTGAGTGGGGCGATGTGCCGCGGTGTGTGCGGGAGGCCATCGTCCTCGCACTGGCCGGCCCGGACTCCCACACCGCCCAGCAAATAGACACAACAGCCGCAGCCGAAGAATTACTGCAACAACAACATCATCATCATCAACAACAAAAGCGGTACTGTAGTCCTTGGCCACCACCACGTGAGGAGAACCGACTGGCGCCCTCACTGACGGAGGAAGTCATTCAACGCAGTGTGAGTAGTTTTGAGGATGCGGCGTGGCTGCGAGATCAGGCGGTGCGCAGCTTTGCACAGTTCCACAACACCGTGGAAGGACTGCGGGAGGGGATGCGGCATCATCTCCGGGCACTCTGGCGAACAGCCGTGCAGTTGGATCCCGCGCTGATGTACAGTGTGCAGCGGCAGTATAATCTGCGGCCTGGAGATGAGATTCCAGAGAGTGTGCATGTGAGTGCAGAGACACAGCAACAACTATTACATCTTCAGTCCATGATAGAGGAAGTCAACAACAGCGTGGAGACATTACGTGCAGCCTCTGTGCGGTTTGCCGCCAATTTGCTTAGCGATGATGAGAAGAGGGCGATGGGACTCAATCCGGCGAATTTGCGTCCTGAAGATTTGGACTCACACAATTCATCCCGTGGGACTTCCTTGACGACATTACTACAGCGGCATGTGAATAATGCCCATGAGAATAGAGCTGGTGGGAGTGGGGGAGTACCGCGTATGTTGTTTGATGAGTTCCGTGGGAATAGCACGGAGGGATCATACCGGCAACCACAGGAACGTTATGTTGATGATCATCATCCTCAACCTCATCATAATCGATCACAAGAGGAATATCATGATCACAATCGATCACGAGAGGAATACCGTCATCATGATCGATCCCAAGAGGAATACCATCATCATAATCCACAACGGGAATATCATGATCACAATCAATCACGAGAGGAATATCATCATCATGATCGGTCACAAGAGGAATATCATCAACAACACGATCGAACACAGGAATATCACCATAATGAACCACCAAGGGAAAGTAACCATCATCAACAACAGCAAGAAAGGGATCGTCAGTATCAAGATGATACATTCACGCCGAAGCGAAAAAGTTCGGGTCCTCAGCAGTCGTTGAGTGAATTGCGGCGACGTTACATGCAGCACATTGCATTACTGAATGAAGCTGCATTACATCACATATCGGATAGGACCACTTCACAGGGCCGCCCCTCCAGCAGTTTGCCCAGTAGTTTTCTTTCGAATAGGGACTCATTGATGTAGAAGACAGCAAAAGAAGAAGATTAGATAGATAGATGGTAAAAGGGGTAAAGGGAGGAAACGAGGAAAAGATGTAGAGCAAATGGACAATAAGAAACTATATTGTCATTTGAGAATATTTTCCCTGTTTTTCTCCTTTTTTCTCTTCCTTCTTTCCTTGTGGTAGAAAGAAAAGAGATACAAAGGGAAGCGCATCATGTGGTTTTTACGACTATGTCTTATCATTTCCCCTGTTTCTCCTGGTGGTTAATAATAATGATAATGGCATTGATGCCGTTCTGTATATCTCTTTGTGAATTATGTTTTTTTTTGTTGTTGTTGTTGTTGCTGTTGTTGTTGCCTTAACATCTGTTTTCTACACTAGATCAACATTACGTTTCCTTCCTATCATTACACGCGTTTTACTCTTATTTTACTTTTAACAAGGGACCACAAGGATTAGAAAAGTTAATCAACCAGTAGTCACAATTTAAAAAAGAAAAAAAAAGGGAGTGGTATAAATATTTAGATAGATAGATAGATAGACGCGGAAGAACAGCCACGACAACAACAACAACAAAAGAAAAAAAAGAACATATAAGCCACTTAAATGATTCACGGTGATTTATCACAAAATCCTACACCACCGCAGCGCATGAAGTTGGAAATAGAAGGCGGTATTGGAGATTGGAAACAGGTACCAGAGTGCGTGCGAGAGACATTACTAAAAATCCTCAGTTCCTCCACTCCTAAGGCACCATCATCATCCTCTGCTGCTCCAGTTCCTGCTGCCGCCGCTGCTGTTGATACATCCGAGACAACGTTTACCAACAACAACAGTTACATCAACAACAACAACAACGATACTGGTATGTTGTTACTACCACTGCGGTACAAAGGGCCCAAGACAGACATCAGTGCCACTCTCAACACTCTGTACGAGACACAACGCCCGCCAGCGCCATTTGTGCCGAATATTCAGTCTGTCGTAACGGACCTTGATGAGAAGTTGCGACGTCTCTCTCCGCCATCACGTGCGGACCCCACCACTAACAACAACAACAATACTACTACTACTATTACTACTAATACTACAGCAGTGAAAAAACGATCGCCCGTGCGGGAGCCGCAACTTTTGGAGGATCGTCGTGTCTTTTACGGCTACCCGGTGGAATCACAGCCGGTGCCGTCGTCCTCCACCTCTCGACGTGCGGCCCCCGCGCGTTCCCCACCGTCGCCGGCCTGTCGTCCGCTGGCGTTATCGGCGGGGGCGGCGGTGAGTCGCGTGGTGAGTGGCCGGCAGCGATCGGCGGCGGTGGATGTGTTGTTGCGACTGCACGCCGCGGCCGTGCGGTTGTGTGAAGTGTACGACACGCCGGTGTTCGCTGGTGTGTACGATGCGATGCGGTTGGACCCGCGGCGGGCGGCGGAGAAGTACGACACCGTGCGGCCGGCCGCCCACCCCTCGCGGGCGCAGGAGGCCGCGTTGGCAGCCGTCGCGGAGGCCCTCGCCGTCCTGCGGGAGGCGACGGTGGAACTCATCGCCGTTGGACTCACACCAGAGGAGAAGCGCACACGCGGTGTGGATACACACAAGTATCAAACACGACATGAGAGGAATACAAAGTATCAATATACCACACCGGATATTAAACACATGAAGGGGAAATCGGGCTCTACACTAGAGGGGCTACTCAAGCGTGCCACTACGGCTAATGCTTCGGCACACACTAGAGAAGAAGAGGAAGAAGATGAAGATGAACATGAAGAGGAGGAGGAGGAAGAGGAAGAAGAAGAAGAGGAGGAAGAAGAAGAAGAATTAGTACCGGTGCGTGCGAAGAAGTTTGTAAAAGAGAATAACCGGCATAGAGATCATAAACTAGAGGAATCTAAGAAGTCCACTGTATCCCGTCCCAGGAATGCCGCTGCTACTGCTGCGTCTCCGGCTTTCCATATAGATCCTGTGAAGGAGAAGAGGGGAAACCTCAATACCGCAAAGACACAACCTAGACCCAAGCCGAAAAGTTCTGCAGATACAACGAACAAACCCACCATATTCCAGCCACCACAATTCCATAATCAACAACAAGAAAAACAACAGCAACAAGAACAAGAAAAGCGGCAGCAACAAGAACAAGAGAAACAGCAGCAACTACAGAGACAGCAACAACAACAGAGACAGCAACAACTACAGAGACAACAACAACTGCAGAGACAGCAGCAACTGCAGAGACAGCAACAACAACAAAAACAACAGCCAAAGAAACTGCAACGACTCTCGTCTGAATCGTCTACAGAATCATCTGCGGGGCCACCACGTGCTCCTGCGGTTGCTAGTAAGACGAAGAGTGCCGTCCCCGCGCCGGCAGCTGCAAGGCCAGCGGCACCGCGGCCAAAGGAAACAAAGTCATCTGCTGCCGTATTGGAAAGGTTGCGTCAAAATCTCTCTCAGTCAACACTCACTATAGGATCCAGTGATACTGCCAGCAATCATGCGGCGGGAAAGAAAGTGGAACACCCTTCAGCTCCGGTTCAACCCAAAGGATCGCCCCTTTCATTTGGAAAGTTTGATATCAAGCGATTCAGGATCGATAGTGATAGTGATTCGGATTCAGGTTAGCACATGTATTGAGTGTTGGCATCCTTTTCTCTTTTTTTTTTCGTTTTTTTTTTTTTTTTTTATGACTCTTAGACGCAGTTTACTCTGAACTTGCACTACACATAAAAACTTTCCCTTCATTTTGTATATCTTTTTTTCTTTCTTTATTGGAGGGGGGATGCAGTCAAAACGAGAGAAGAAAAAAAAAAATGATTGTGAAATCGAGTAAACCACAATCTGACAGTTTTCACCTTGTATTTGTTTGCTTCTTTTTTTTCTCTTTTGAGTGCTTCTGTCTCTATGTGGTACTTATCTTTTTTTTTTTTTTTGTTCCAATATTAATATTATTATTATGTTATTCCTCTTGTATTTATTTACTTATTTTTTTCTCTTCGTTTACTTCGAATCCTGATTTTCTTTTCTTTTTCTTTTTCTCTTTGCTTTTCTTTCTTCTTGTTCTTGCTATTATTATTACTCTTTGGTCTTGGGGAAAAAGGCTATTACGCAGGCATAATGAAAAGGTTTTCTGGTGTTTTCTCTCGCCAGGCGGGAGCTCTCTTTTTCCGGCAATTGCCAGTGGCAACCATACCCTTACAACGACAACAACAACAACAACAACGGTTTCTCAGCACCACGACTACAAGTGGTGAGAATGCCGTTCCTGGTGTTGGCGGTGATGTGCAGGATACGGAAGAGACACATCCAGACTTCCAGCCTCGTCTTGTCAACACGGAATTCGCAGAGGATGAAATCGCGATGGTTAAAAACGATATTAACGACACTATTAAATCAGAAGATGTGGTGGTATTCATTAAAGGAGTTCCAGAGGCACCTATGTGTGCCTTTTCAAAACGTATGATTGATATGTTGGAGCTGCTGGGTCTGGAGTACACATCATTTGATGTACTGGCACACCCTGTAGTGCGCACATATGTAAAGGAGGTGAGTGAATGGCCCACTATTCCACAGTTATTTATGAAGGGTGAGTTTGTTGGGGGATTAGATGTTCTGCAGAAGATGTTAGAAAGTGGTGATTTACAGAAACTACTGGAACAGAAGGGAATTACTTTCCGCAAGCCGTAGATGGTAGAGAAAACTTTTTTATGGCTGTGGTGGTTGATGAGAGTAATGATTAGGAGGACACACACAAAAAAAAAAAGAGGGGCGGGGTGGATATGTTGATGAGGAAAGGAATGAAAGAAGAAGAAGAAGAAAACAAAAATGGAGCTTAAACTTTATTCGTCTTTCACTTATTCTTTCTCTCTATAGACGGATGTAATTGATGAATAAGGTCTACGCAAAAGGGAATATATTTTCTTGCAATGGAGGCATGAAGTGTTATATTATTATGATTGTGTTTTGATGTTCCTTTCGTATGTTGAACTTATCCTGCTGCTATCACCGCCAATATCCTTTAAAGTGTCAAATGTGGACCTTTAAGGTTTTCTTTCTCTGTTTGTTTGTGTGTGTGTGTGTAAGCATTTGTTTGTTGTTTTCTTCTTCTTTTTCCTTGCTTCTAGTTAATGAGTTCCCGTGTTTCTCTCTTTTTCTTTTTTTACTTATTTTGTTATCTGTAGAATAAAGTGACACGGTAGATATTCATGACTGTATAAAGTTATAAAACGGTGCAAGAAAAGGGAAGAATGGTGTGTTCCTAATGTTGTTATTATTATTATTGTTGTTGTTATTGTTATTGTCGTCGTCGTTTTTTTGTTATTTATTTATTTTTGACCGGCATGAGTTGAAAGCAGTGACGATAGTGTCACTAGTTCGCATTATTTATCGTGGCCTATTATTACCATTTATGACTACTATTTCCATAAGAACAAGGGAAAGTCATCAGCAATAAATAACCATAGACGCTTTATTGTACTTGATTTTTTCTTTTTTGCTTTTACTCTTCTTGACGTTGTTGTTGTTGTCGTGGTTGATGGTGAGAATAATAATAAAAAAAGAAAATGGCAGTCTTCACGTTAATGGTTCTGTTTTTTGTTTTGATGTTTTACACAATGTCTCAAAATATTATTATTATTATTATTATTATTATTATTATTATTATTATTATTATTATTATTATTATTATTATTTTATCTCTCTTGTGTATACATTCTCTTACTTTCCATTTACTTCTACCCTCTAGAGTTGACAAATGGTTGCTGGGGCCTATCTGACCACAAACCTGGTGGGTGGGTTGGGCAATCAGTTGTTTCTCATCGCCAACCTGTTGGCCACTGCAAAGCGCAATCAAGTCTCCGCTGTATTGCCGCGACTGAATTGGAGTAGTAGCAATGAACAGCCGCGGCCTGTCTATTGGGACTCTCTCTTCGCAGATCTTGAGGCCTACGGTGTGGGTAGTGATGTTCCCCGTAATATTCCAGAAATAGTGGTGCCAGAGAAACGGCCTGTGGCCCCAATTACAGTGGAAGCGTCTGTACAGTGTGTATACAATATGATAGGTTTCTTTCAGTCGGAGGTATTTTTCTCGGATTATCCTCTTATACGAGATGTTGTGCCTTCTAGACTCCGTGAGGCGGCGGTAAAACATCTACATGATAACTACAGTAGTTCTAGTAATACGCAACTTGTCGGTTTACATGTTCGTCGTGGGGATTACTTGCGTTTTCGCAATGTATTTGAAATCTTAGAGGTGGACTACTATGATACAGCGGTGCGACAGCTGTTGGGACACAGTCTACAATTACAATCTGTTGGTATGCGTAATATACATCTTCTTGTCTTTTGTGAAGAGGAACGATATGGGGCAACAGTTGTAGGTTACTTCCGTAGTAAATATGCAGGTCTTCAAGTATCTCTAGTCTCCGCAGGAAACGAGCGGGTGACATTTACAAGTGATAGCAACAACAACAATAATAATAATAATAATAATAATAATAATAATAATAATAATAATAATCATCCAATGCCGCGTGAGGTATTGGAGTTGCTTATGTTGTCTAGTTGTGATGATGTTGTAATGGCAAACTCCACGTGGTCGTGGTGGGCTGCTTATTTAAATAATCGTCCACTTCGTCGTGTGGTGGCACCATCACGGTGGTTTGTGCAGCACCCATACCCACAGTCTAATCACATCTACTGTAAAAACTGGATGTTGTTGTAAAGACCTAAGATGAAGAAGATGAAGAAGGTGATGAAGGAGGAGGAGGAAGAGGGTGTGTAATGGAATGAATGGAAAGAGAAGAAATAAAACAAAAGAATGGAGGGGTGGAGAGGAAATAATTTTAAAATAAAATGATGGGTCTCATATATTTTATTTTTATTTTTATTTTTTCTATCTACCCATTCTTTTCTTTATTTATTACATCAGTTCCTGGTTATATTTCTTGGATCATGTGAATGTATCTGTGTATATGGGTTCAGGTCTCTCTCTCTCTCTCTCTCTCTCTTTATTTGTTTGTTTGTTTGTTTGTTTCTCTCTTTCAATGCATTTCCTTCTTTATCGTTATTCTTGTTTTTTTTCCACCTTAAATGTACGGTGTGGTGAAAAGAGAGAGACGATGATTGCCAGTGTGTTTCGTAATAGGGCCACGTGTGTTGAGGTTCTGCAGGGCGTTGAGCGTCTGCGCCCGAGTTGGTGGACGCCGTCCTGTACGCAATTCCTCCGCCGTGTGGAGAACACCCCGTCTGTGAGTTCAACAGCAAACATTCCATTAACATCATCATCATCAAAAGAAAAGAAAGTTTTGATTGTGTTGGAAGGACTTGATGGCGTAGGAAAGTCTCTTGTGGCTCAGACACTCGTGAAGAAATTGGGGGATACGGCTCAACTCATGCGCACACCAGATCCGGTCTACAGTGATATCCGTGAACTTTTCCGTGTACAGGATGAACACACCGCCAGGGCATTTTACAGTGCGGCGAACTATTTAGCCGCCTGGGATGTTTTTCATCGCACAGATCAGCGGCAATTTATTCTCTTTGATCGTTGGTGGTGTTCCACATGTGCCATGGCATTGGCGAACACTTGCAGTTTAGCATCACTTCCGCCTATTGGTGATGAGGTGTATAAATGGCCGCAAGATCTCCCAAGACCGGATGTGGGTGTGTTTCTGTATGTAGAAGAACACATACGTCAGGCACGCATACGCCGCCGTGCACCTGAAGATGTGGAGGAACGTCGACTTAGAGAACAGCAAGAGATGCGAGCTGTGGCGATGGAGGCGTATAGACGATTTGGTTTACTTACAGAAGTGCATGTGTCTACATACCGAGCGGCGGTGAATGATATTCTTGCACTACTAACAAAGCGAGGAGTGCAACACAGCGCAGTACCTTTTACGAATGCAGAGTTGGCGGAGATCCATCCATTCTAAATAACAGAATCCTCTTTTTTCATTATTATTATTATTATTATTATTATTATTATTATTATTATTATTATTATTATTATTATTATTATTATTATTAATAATAATAATGATTACTATTCTTGTCGTTGTTCTGCTTTGGGGTTATTCTGTGTTTTCTTTGCTTCTTTGTTTGCCTCTCCGGTGAGTTGTAGTGGTGATGTTGCATACATTGCAAGACATTTCAATCTTCTTTTTCTTTTGGGTTTTTCGTGTTGTTGTTCTTTATTTTTCTTAACAGTATATATATATTTATTTATTTATTTATTTATTTATTTATTTATTTATTTATCTGTGTCTTTGTGTATTCATATATGTACTTCTCTCCTTTTAGTTCTTTTACTCTGCTTTAGTTGTAGATATTCACCTGCTGCACCTCCACAGAATGTCCCGTACCCCCCTGGTGACTGCAGTTCCCAGTGATCACAAGAACGGCGGATCTCTTCTTCTCCCACTAGCAGTCGCAGCTCTCGGCGCGGTGTGTGCATGGCGACTCTACCGCCGATGTGTGGTGCGTGTGGATGAGGGCTGTGTGACTGTTGTGTATGAAACTCGACGGAATTCCATTCTCTCAACTTCACTCGATCAGGACCGTTCCTCCTCTCGCGATGAACTCCCGCAGATCTCCCACTTCCGTCCTGCGATGTATGTGATTGCCTCGCTTCTCTACACAAGCCGTAGTGTGGTGGTGGTGCCGCCAACGTCCTTCTTCAACACCTTCACACTTCCCGCCTCGCTGCTGCGTGAGGAGGGGGACGGCGAGGCGGTCGCCTGCAGAATAGATGCCCTGCGCGCCGCCGACGGGGCCTTAACTCTCGCCATCACTGTACGCTACCGCATTCCAGTAGAACAACTCGAGCGGTATCTCGCAGCGGTGGGACCGGTGCCGCCAAATGAACGTATTGCCGTCGCACTCGCGGATGCCGCGCGGGCAAGAGGGGCGGAGTTGTCGGTGGGACTTATTCTTAACGAGGAGAGAAGAGAGGCGGTGTTTCTTCAACCACTGCAGGAGCAACTGGCCTCACGGCTCATGTCAGAGGCAGGAGTAAAGTTGTTGGGGGTAACAGTAGACTGGGTAGAAATAGCAGCCAAACAGGAGGTGGTTTGAGGCGTAATACCGTTAGAGAGAAATGGAGAAGGAATTATATAAAATGAAGGCTGGAAAAGCAAGCAAAAAATGAGGTGGGGAGAGTGAAAAAAAGAAAAAGAAAAAAAGGATGGAGGAGGAGGGGTGCAGTTGAAAGAAAAAAAAAAGAATGAGATATTAAGAAGAAGTAAATAATAATAATAATA